TATTACAGAAAAATCGAAGAGATCAGAAAGTTGATCAATGATTTGAAAACAAGAACTGAGTACATTCCCGATCAAACTATTGACGTTACGAAGGCAATGCTCAATAAATAGTATTCGAAGATTCTTCATGTTAATCAATAGGCTGTGGCGCATTAATTTTTTTCAGATTTCACTACCTTTTGTTATTAGCGGTTGATTGGCGTCAGCTACGAACGCGTATTTTTCCCAGAGAAGATGAAGTCGATAAGTTTAAAAATCTTTAATATTCTCTATTAGGACCAACATTTGTGCGAGAACTTATAAACGTTCCGCAGAAAAACCGTTAGAAATGACAAAAATCAAGAATGGCTGTATGAATCTACCCTCATCTACAACTTCTATGAGTCTAAAAAAAATAAGTGGAGCGAATATCATATTCTAGGAGAATGAGGTTGATAACTGATAAGATAAGACAACAAAAGAAAGTAGTAAGAAATAACAGGAAGACATACAGTTTTTAAAGAATACAAGGAGAGTTAGTATGAGAGAGGACTGAGCAATGCTTTTTTTGTTTAAACACTTTCATACAGAACGTATTTAAAATTGAGGAAACGGAAAAATAATTTTTAAAAGTGGCACAAATCTGAATGGAAAGAGAGATTATACCCGATATGAGCAAAATATGAAAAAAATGCTTGTGGGATGCATTCTTAAGAGTATATGGTTACAACCTCAGCTCCAGTTCCACGAACAAGGAGAACTCTCTCCATACCTTCTGTCAGAGCTTCAATGAATTCCATATCTATAAATAAGTTGTGCTTTTTGAAGAAAAAAGAAAATGAAATTACAGTATGTATCAGAATCATTATCAGGAGGTCCTGGCAAGTTAATGACAGTTAATTGACTTTCAGCCGATCTGTCTTTCATCAACTCATTGAGTTTGACAGCAGTGTGCATCTTATGAACATTATATCTTCGTTTTCTCTTGAGCTCCTCGCTCTCCTTTGGTTTTTCCTGCAAAACAAATTGTGAAAAGATGCTAAAACAAGTAATAAACCTCTTGCATGTTCTTGTCATCACTGAATCGAACACCTTTCCCTTCAGCTTTTGGCTTTTTGTTTTCCTCGTCAATCTCTTCGTGACCTTCTTCAACGTTTTCTAGCTTCTTTTCGTAAATTCCGGCCTTGACAATACTTTGATAGTTTTGGTTGGAAAAGTTTTCCTTACCGCCTCTTCTTCATTAATTTTACTTAGTTTTCTTTCTCTTGTGATGTCATCAAGGTGAATTTGAATATCTCTATCTCTTTCAGACTTGTTCAAACTTTTTAGCATTCTTGTTCGTTCTTCCATTTTGAGCGTTCTTTCATAAGTATAGTCAGAAATATCAGAATCGGTCTGTAAGAAATAGATTTCAAGTCAGAAGTATCAAGAAAACAAACCATCTCAATGATATGAACTTGAGCTTCTATACGTAATTGATATAAGAATCTTTCGAGATCTTGTTTCATTTGTACATTATTGTCTTCCACTTGAGCAATGGCGAAAAGACGAACTTTGGCATTCTTCCAAGTCTTGTGTTGACGGAGAAGGAAAGGCAGAAGCATGAGAAGACCTCCATCATGAACTACCCACCATACATCAATATTTCCTGAGACTTTAGTAGATGATGATGGGAAGGTAGCAGCATTCTTTGGCACCAGAATGGCACATCTTCAATTCGTATCATGAACAAAGATGAAGACGTGTATGAATCTTACTTGGCAGCTGATATGGCACGAATTGCCGAAACGAATTTATGGCCAACAGACCACTGTCTTTCACTATTCCACTGTTCTGGCCAAGTGAGCATAACTGTATTATGTCGAAGACCTCCAAGACCCGAAGTCTGAACAAGTAGTTTTGTTTGAGACCAAATGAGGTTATAAAAGTTACTTGGATTAAGCAGCTGACTCCATCAATAACATCTGATGTGACTAAAACGTCACAGAACCCTCTAATTTTATTTTTACGAAGTAGAGCTTCCATACTGTGTTGATAAGCTCCTGCTTGAGCATAGTCATCAGCGTAATCACCTTTCATACATAAGGATACGAGAGTAAGTCCCTGGAAAATAGTGATGAAAATTTGAACATACAAACAGTAGGTTACCTTTCCAGCTTTGAGCTGAGAGACAAATGCCAACATTCCTTGAGTTGCTGGATTATCAACTTCATCAACCAAAACTAATAACTGGGGACGCCAGTTACGAGAATGCTGTGGTTTATTATCCAAGTTCAGTAAAGCAAATCTTAAATTATAGTTTACAATGTACGGAACTGAAAGTAGTGGATACCGAGCCGCACTCAATCCTAATCCTCGAATTCCATCTCCCCATTCTTTCTCGGCACCAGCATATTCAATGTATTTATAAACAGCAGCTCCAATGAAAATAGCTATGAGGGCGAAATGCCAAGCTGATATAAACATAACAGCAACACATAAAAACGATCCAATCAAGGACAAAGCCCTGAAATGAATTAATTCGCATGATCCGATTAGTCAATGATTACCAATGGAAATATCTAAAACTTGGTCTCCAACCCGGCGATTTGAGAAGAGATTGAAGAGCACAAGCAGTGTTAACACCCAAATAACACATCAAAAAGAATCTGAAAAATTGTAGTTTGTATGATTTTTTGCTTTGCTTCTACGTACTGAGTAATTAGGGCTGTGATATTCTCAATGACAGCAATCAGAATTCCCATTTCACAAATGATGAGAGTTAAGAAAATAGCACGAATGGGTTCTCCTCTGTTATCAATTTTTCGGAATGGCTTCAGGAAAGGAATAACATCATCTGAAATGTGATTTTTGATGATTGAGTTATCTTTACTAGTTTCTTACCTGATGCAATGGCTTGGAGAAGACGAGGTGCTCCAGTTAAAGATTGCATTCCAGCTCCTACGGTGGCCAAGAAAGAACCAAACTGAAAGCGTTTAAATAGAAAACAAAAACGGAAAGATTAACTTACAAGAATAACAATGGGAAGAGGCCAGGCAATCTCGGACACTAATAATTTACCCATTGCCGATGATCCGAACTTGTCCCTGATCATCATTTCTGACACAGTTGCTCCAAAGAAAATTACTCCCAATAGATCTGAAGCAGAATCATAACTTCCGATTCGTAACGTAAAAATGACTTACAAACTGTACTAGTTGTCAGTTGAGCTCCTAAAGTACCTAATGGGATAGAACGTGAAGCGTCCCTCAAGTTTCCAGATCTGTTTGAACCAGCCATAATTCCTATAAAGCATGGTATAACTCTCTAGTTAAAATAGTTCGTGGATCAAACCTGTGGCTGATGGGAAGAAGACACCAATAAGAATCATGAAAGAAGTGGTTGTATCAGCAAATATATAAAATCCATTTGTGTTTTGTTTAGTTGCTTTGTCTTTGGGATCTTTCGATAATATTTCTCCAACTCTAGTGTGTTTTGGCCATAAATTATCCCAGAAAACTCCGCTCGCTATTCCTTTGATGGCTCTCTGAAAAATGAAAACTATTTGATCGTATTGGTCTCATTAGTTTATTTTTACAAAGATTATCCCATTTTGGGCTTAGAATGTTTATAAAAAAGTAGGACAAACTTCTTGACGAACAGCTGGAAGATTCGTTCCTCTCCAGACTTTTATGTTTTTGACTTTAGTGAAATACGGATCACAAGTGCCATTGTCTGAACAGAAGAGCGGATTCAATCCGTCTACTGTACAGTTCACAGCAACTCTATGTTCCTCAAAATATCCTACAAGATCAACTGGCCGATCTCCGACCATACAATATCTTAAAAACAAAAAATTATTTTTTGATCATAAAGTCTCGCATCCTACTTCAATTCATCAGAACCATTGAACCGTACTGCTACTCCAATGAATGATGATAAAATACAGAAGATGACAACAAAAACCATTGGAAGAGCAAACTTATTAACAACCTAATGCGATATAGAATGTATTGAACATTGGAAGCATTGATACTTACCTTTACTCCTGCCAACACTATCATACCGAGGATGAATAACAATACTGTACCCAACAAACGGTAATTATGGAATATATCTTCGAATACTTTGGCACCAGGAATAATGTAAAGCTGTAAAACAAAATTTTGAAATGATTCGAAAATAGAAATGAATACCAGAAGAATTTCAACAGCTCCAATAATATACATAGAAGCTGCTATTGTTGTACCCAAGTAGAATAGAATTCCCACAGCTCCACCGAGTTCAGGACCGAGATTCCTACTGATCATATAATACGGTCCACCACCCGATACCACCCCGTTCGTGGCAATAGCTGACAATGAGATTGAAGTCAAGAACGTCTGAATAATCATTATTATCAATACTTAATCCTTCTGATGAATCTTACAACAGAAACACAAACAAGGACAACGAAGAAAGCTTGAAAGATTCCGGCAGTACCAATAATCCAAACCATACGAATAAAGAATAATACACCGAAAATATTTTGCAAGCAAGGCAAAAATACTCCCATAATTGTACCCATTTTCGCCGCCTGAAGAAGTCATTGTTAGTTTATGATCTATATAAGCATGATCTGATCTGAGCACAACCGTTCTTCTCCAATCATTGAATAACAATGAAAGCAGAACTGTTGAGACAGCTTCACGTGAGACCATGATATGCTAATATGCTAACCTGTTTAGGCTTCTCATCAGCTTCTTCTGCTGTTGGCTCTGTTGCATTGTAAACGGACAATTTCCGCAACATTTGCCCAATTTTCTGTCCCTGAGTGTCATAATCTTGCTGAAAAGAGCTTATCAATAATAATTTTTTTTTTGTTTAATTTCTTTGAACTCCAATAAAAACTGAATGAGGATTAACTAAACATATATAAATGTCAATTTTTGGACTATTCATCCATATGTCAAGTTTCAGCTTCAATGATTATTAACTTAACTTTTCTGCCTTGCAGATGAAATTTGGTTTCGAAAAATGTTTCAACAAGAACCATGAGTTTGCACTTGAACTTGCATTTCAACTTTGAAATGCTCAGATTCATCTTTTGTGGAAAGTTTGATTTTTTTTTCTTCCCGCAAATGTTTCTGCTTTCAAGAGAAATTGAGCTCTTATGGCTGCTTCAGAAGTTAAGAATTATGATGGATGACCAAAAATCTAATAATGACATGAGCTCAGTGAAAATATTCTCATCATCAGATAAAGTATTGAACGATAGATGCATATAGCTATGGAATAATATGAATTTTGAAAATTAAAATAAACTATCGTTATTATGTAATGTGAAGCGAACCTCATATAAGGCGAGTGGAGAATGTTGTTCACACAGCGGAATTCTTTCAGCGCCATCATCTGCAACAAAAAAATTTAATTAAAATAAAAAAAATGTCTTTTTTTGTCAAAATTTCCATTTTAATATTTGCTCTTCCGTTGTACTTTAAAGAGAATTTTCAATTACCCTCATAAAACATTTAATTATGCTTTATATAATTATAATAGAGTTATTATGAATGCTGAGATGCTTGATACTACCAACCACTTCGTGCTTCTTGCAAATTCCAACTGGAACGTAGTCGAAAATCGCATACTGCACGTGTGGATACTATCATGCCGTCATTCAACTTCACAGGTATTGAAACAACAAAGGAACTTTCTATTCCAAACAAATTTCTTTTAAGTTGGTTCTCCATTATTTTTTTTTCGGCTTCCAAGAAAAGAAAAGAACAGAAGGGAAGTTACGCAAAGTTATAATAAGCCAGGAGGCATAAATTAGCATAATTGACGGGAAACAGATCAGGCCGCTAAGCACAATGGCATTGCATCAATTCATCTTTAGTTTGTACGAAATTTGGTTTTTCTTAATTTTTTTTCATTAAAAATGAAAATTTATTTTGAGCACATGATATTCTATTTATAGAATCACCTTTCTTAGAGCCACGTCGTCCTGTAGACATTGTTATAAATATTTGAATAATTTCATAATAATGATAGAAGTAAGATGTGTGTGAATGAGATGTCAAGAATGAATTTAAAAAAAGAAAATTTCAATAGATATTCTAGACAATTTCGTTTTTCTTGAATGGATACCTGAAGATAATTAGAATCAATTAATTATATAACGATAATTTGATAATAGAACAGAAAACGACAAATGAGCATGAGAATTGGCAATGCAATTGGAAAAGCATAAGGTTTGAGCTGACGCAAATTCCAAAGCCCTCAGGGGGTTGGCTCAGGGAATTTCGGCAAGCACATAAGGCTTAGTTGGATTTCAAAGTAAAACATCAAATTCATATGAGCCAATTAGGATGAATATTTTATACTTTGTTTTGAAGAAGAACAAGTTGGTTGAATTCAAACGTATTTGTGGAGAGAAGAAGAGATGGAAGCTTATTTACATAAATTCATAATAGAAGCTTAACTGACAACTGAAGAGAGAAGACGAGTGAAGGTTCAGTAGAAAAAAAAATTAGCTGAAGATTATATAGCCAACTTATGACCAGATTAGTAATGACTAGTAGAAGAGCAAAAAGAGGGAAACGCAACGACTGAAGAGCGTGCTTCAATCTCGAAGGCCTGAAAACTGCTTCGCCATTTTGTTGAGCTTTGTGGACTGAGAATTGGACAGGCTTATGTGAGAAAAAATGTTTTTTATTCAAAATTGTTTCATATGCTCATGCTTGTTGCTTAGAACAATGCAAATGGATGAAGATATAGGGTAACCAACGTAACATCCAAAGAAAATATATTTGAAAGCAGAAAAGAGGTGAAAAGGATGAGAGAATGATCAACGAGATGTGAAAAAGAAAAAAAATAAAAGTTCTGTTCATTTTTCAACAATACTTCTTGCTCGTAACAAATATACTTTGAGAGTTATAAAGAATTGGAAGATAAATTTTGGTGAATGGATGGAGAAGCTAATGAAATAGACGGCCAATTCAACTCGTATAAAGAAGTTTGAAGATGTCGAATTTGTCTTTGATGCTTCAGAAAGATTTGAAAAAAAAGTTGTTTTAAGGACAAAAAGGAAATTACATGTAAGCTGAAGCTATGTTGTGTGTGTGTCTTAGTGTGTTGTTTGGAGACAACATTTTTCTCGAACAACATGCTCAGACACTTCTTTAATACATTCAAGAAGAAAATCCCTTATATCGTTTTGTCCGTCTTTCGCAACCTGCTGATTCAATGCTTAAGCTTGTCTTCTGGCAAAGCTATTACCGCCCGCTGTGAATGGAAGAAGTGAGAAAAGAAGAGTAAAACGTGGCAAAGACTTCCGATTTCGGCTTAGGACCGTTTGAACAAAGCAAAAAGATAGCGAAATTTGAATAAAAAATATCAGGAAGTAAAATGAGAAGGAAAAATGGAAATTTATGTTCAAATTCTAAAACGTAAGTTCGGACTGAAAGGTATTGAAGATTGGTGAGCAGAGTGAGTGAGACGAGATATTAAAAAACAACCGTTCTGCGCATCAACATCTGCTATAATGATATGTTTTGCATACGTGGACGTTCACGTCATTGAGTCAGAAGCGTTTATGCTAATATCGATAGTGTATATAAAAAACGGAAAAAATAATGAGAAGATATGAAGAGTGGAAAGAGAGGATGTCGGAATAAAAAAAACCGATGCGAACACTATTAAATGATGTTGAGAGGAAGAAGAAAAGAAATGAGCAGAGTTAAGTATTAGAAGGAAGTTCCGAATTCGAGAAACAAGTGAAAATAATATAAAGAGACACTAGGGAGGAAAAAGATAAGAAAAGTAAAAAGGGGAAAAAGCGTGACACAAATGGTCGGCTCTCTTCTCAGTATGCTTCTGATGCTGTTGATGGTCGATGAGTTGCAATTTTTGGTTGTGTTAGTGGCAGAATATGAAAGTTAAAAAGAAGAAAAGAGAATTAGAGAAAATAGAATATGTGAAGATAGAGGAAACGGATAAAAAGAAATATGGAAAAAGGAAAGTATGAGAAATGAAGAAGAATGGATACTTGACGGATAAAGCGGAAAAAAGAGAGAGAGTTAGAGAAAGGGAAAGAAAGACTTTAAAGAGAAAGAGGTAGGAATAGAGAGAGAGGAAGATAGAGTAGTGCCATATATGATGAAGCTGTGATTTCATCTAATTCACCAGGATTTTTTTATTTTTATATTTTTTATGTAAACGAAGATGAAGGTAACTGGAACACATACACACCCCACACACACACTAGTAGGCAGATTGCTTTGAGTTGAAAGACAGCTTCTGATATTGGCATCGTACTGCCAAACCCAGAGTTTACTTCATAGAAAAAGCTGTTTATAAGCTTTCTCTCATACAACTGTGCTTTTTGTTCTTTCTCTCTCTCTTTTTTTATTTTAAGCGTAGAATTAAGCAATATGAGCATTTGAGTCGACAATGCTTCTCATGCCCTGAGGATATGCTCTACTCGTTCTAATGCTGTTTTTGAGGCGGTTCATTGAGCATCAGATTTTGTCCGAATTTAAACTAAACTTTCTGTATCCCTTTGAGAAAAATGAATAATTTGAAGGAAAAGCATGAGAAATTGCAAAACGTGTTAGTACTCGTGAAAACTTCATTGCACTTTAAGTAAAAGAAATCGAAGTGTATTGAAGATAAAAATGAGGAGAAAGTTATTATGAAAAAATCTTCAACTTTCTTCATAAAAATAATTTTGAAGCTGTTGATCTTCGACATTTTCGGAGATTGTGACAAATTCTGAATTGATGTTCGTCAATAAGACGATGTTCTAGTGATATGGGAAGGACGTTGAATTACTTTAAAAAGTTCTCGCTCTTCATGCTTTACGTCTGTTTTCAGTCAAGAGGCCAGCAATCCGTAATTGGACTGAAACGACAACGTAAAAGAAGGAGAAGCTGAAGAAGAAACAGATGAGAGATTAAACTTTCCCCTTTTTTCTCGCATCTTGCTCTTTTTCTTTCTTTCAATCTCTCTCTCTCTCTCTCTTTCTCTCTCTATCTATTCTTGCCTCCCTCTTTATCTGCCTTTCTCTATTCCTGGCTGAGTGTGAAAGAAAACATTTACAAATAACAATTGGTTCTTGAAAGATTTTTGTTTCCCTTTAATTCACAAATGAAAAAAAACACAAATCTATCTCATGCCACATTTCTTGGAAAAGGAGAAGATAGAGAAAAGCTCAGGATGGAGTAAAAAGTAAATATTTGAAGAAGTAAACAGTCGTTTGACATGAGGACTGTGTATTCAGGTAAAACACAGAGTTCCATACTGGAATTAAAAACAGATAACAAAGCAAACAATTCAAAGATGAAGAATCAGCTAAACTCTGTCATCGTCTTCATCTCCGTTTGGGCCTCGCTTCAACTCGAAATCGTCGAGAAACTTCAATCATACGTCTTCTACTTAAATGGCAATCAGTTCTGGGCAATCTTCTCAAGACCTCTCATTCTATTTTAAGATAATCATAAATCTTTTTTTCATTTTTTTTTCTTCAACCTCTACTGGTCACACAGCTCAAGCCGATTCATTTTAATGATCAGATATCATAATGAGGAGGCAATAACAGTAACAAACAAAACAAAACGAAATATGGAAAAAGTTGAAGAAAAAGAAGAAGATGGAAATGAAAAATTTCATGACATTCGAAGAAGCAATTCAATATATGTACATAATATATGAACTTAGGGGGTCTGAATTACTATTCGTCTTGTTCGGATTCTTCATGACTCTCTCTTTCTCTCTTCGTCTCTCTATCTCTGTTTCTCTTTCGTTACAACCACTCTCTCTCTTTCTCTCTCTCATTCTTCTTACTAATTTCCTTTTAAGGAGAAGGAAGAGGTAAAAAAATGTTATATTGATTATAGAAAGAAAAGAATAGAGAGAAAAAGAGAAGAAGAAGAAAAAAAAAGTTTTTAAAAATAAAGGAAGGGCGATGTGTTCAAGACGTTAGATAATCCTCCTAGAGGACAATGGCCAATAATGTCTTCTGAAGCATGTTAATACCCTAAGTTGATCCCTTTTTCCGAATCAATCATTCAACAAACTGACTATTAGATAGTAATCTCTTAACTATTCGTATGAATGTTCATATAATTATTAGGACATTGTTTCAAAAATGATGAAGATGAGAAGTAGAAAAATCTTCTGCGACACCAAGAACAACTATAATCAAGAGAGAGAGAGGGGGGGGATCGAAACTCTTATTTTCTTCTAAAAAAAGAACGAATATTAGCTATTCATATTATGAATTTTGTATTTGAAATATTTATTATTTGAAAGTAAAAAACGACTAATGAAGGATGGAAACGAATTTAAACAACAAAAAAAAACAAAAAAATGTTTAGTTTCTACCATTAACTAGCAGGGCGACCCTCTCTCTCACACTCTCTTTCATGTTTTTCAACTTTTTGTTGGTTAAAAAAGGCTTTTCAACTTGAATCTCCACATGAAGTGAGAAAAACGAAGCTTCATCCACCTCGCTCACTACTACCTCCCTTCATCCCTCTCTCTTCACACCTCTTCGTATCCGAAATCATCTGTTGACATGTACGAATGCCAAAATTGGAATATATTACAGGAGAGACACAGAAGAAAAAAATAAAATAAAAATTTGTGATCTTTCAGGTCTATACAAGATACTTGAAAGAAAAGGAAATTGATGAAATAGCGTAATGGATACTAAAGCAAATAAGCAATTGATTGTTTATTGAGAAATTGCCTTTTTTTGTGCGTGTTAACAATATGCATATAGTTAAAGATAGTTAAACGAGAGAAAATCATATAAAGACTACTATTCATAGATGTAAATGTTTCGATAAATCCATATAACCTTAATTGGACAAATGAATCTTTAATAAGATGAAACATTCATTCGTCAGAATTATATTAGGAGAGTTTCACGTTGCATCTCTCTCTCTATCTCTCGTAACCTCCCTTTCTTACCCTATTTCATTTCCTTTCTTAGTAACATGAAAAGAGGGAAAAAGAGAATAAGAGAGAGAGAGAGAGACTTATTTGATCGGCTTAGAATCTCTCATCTTAGGCCGTGATATGAAATGAGTAGAACATTCAAAAGCTTTTACATATACATATCTCTAACTGTTCCACAATTACGTGATTGTTGACAGAGAATGAAATGGTTTTTATGATTTCTTTCAACTCGATATAATATGAAAAAAATTATTTTTTTCTCCTCTATTTCTAAGAAAACAACCGTTTGTTGCTATCTGAATGATATGAATAATCATGTTCTTCTATGCACGTGGGCAGTGACGTGAAAGAAATTAGAATATTCGCTTGAAAGTTTTGAATCAGCCTCAGAAAAAATAATGAAATGATGAATTTGAGATTCTGTTGAGAGTGAACAGCAGGTTGCCAAAAACAGATTGAAGCAACTTATTTCCTTCTTTCGAAAATCTTTTTTAAAGCTTTGAGAACGCAAAGATTAAGAGGGAAATGGAATGGATTTTAATTTTTCGCTGTTTGAAGCTTAAATTAGGAAGCGAGAGCAAATCGTTTCAGCTTTTTGCTGTTTCTGTCGTTGTAAGTTTTCTCTTCATTTGTTTTTTTATCCAATTTCACACATGTTGTATTTGAAATGGAAATCTTAGCATTTGACATCATTCAGTTGTTCCTTCCTTCTCTCTCGTCCCCTCCTCTTACTATAATAACGAAACATTGTTGGTGATGGGAAAAATATAGCTTACATACTACTGTCGGCTAAGTTTTCATCGAATTTTTTTTCGATTTTACTCTCTATTACCTATCTTCTTCTTCTATTTCTTCTTCTCCTTGTTGTTGTTCTTTTCCTCCCCCCATTTTACTTCAACACAATTTCATGACAACTATTGAAAAATGCTTTTAGGTTGTTGAGGAGAAGAAAAAAAGCCGAAAGCATGAGAATTGAATGAAGAGAATAGGAGAAGAAGAAAAAGAAGAAGACGATGAGGATAAAGAGCTAACAGTAGTAGAATTGACACGCAAACCGATCCATCCACATCTCTTTTCTAGCACTTGGGTTTCGACTTAATTCTTTTTCAAACACCATCTCAGAGATTTTTGTGTTTGGTGGGTTCAGGATGCGATGTAAAGTGTAATGTTCGAACCACTTGTAACTCAACTGCCAAAATGTAGAGAAAAGTTGGAAAATGATAGCTTATTGTGAGAGGATAAGCTATACTGCATCAGATGAATGTTCTTCTTGATTATCAGAGACGTTGCTATGTTTCATCTGATAGGAGAGAGAGAAAGCCAAAAAATGAAGATTTATCGTTTTTGAAATTAAGGGAAAAGTTGAAAAAACTGATTACAAATGATGTCATTTCCTACTTTCTCTCATTTTATTTTTCGTTTGAATTTTCAAATGAGCGTGTAAAGGAATGAAGCAAAGATCTAATTGTTTCTCTCGAAACTTCTGAAACTCTTGAATGCTGAAATGCACAGAACTTGAAAAGACTACAAGATATAAAGAGAGAAATGAGAAGAAAACTGCCATCAGAGTGAAAACAAGCTCAGGCAATTTGTCAGGTATAAGGATCTTTCTCATATCCGAAACGACCCCCAATTGCTATGAGGACGGAGAATGGACGGTAAAGTCGATACGGCTGAAGCATTTTTCCCTTATTTTTTATTCATCTACCAAAGAAAACAACAGAAAAAAAAACACAGACGATCGAGGATAGAAATAGAGAGAGGGTGAGAGAGAGGAAGAGAAAACAAGAAATTGAGAGAATGAGAGAGATAGAGACAAACAGAAGGAAGAAAAAGAGTCTTCTTCATCTACCCATCAAAGACAATTTTCTTCTTGTTGAACTTTCAACTTTTGAGAAAATTCAAAGTTATCAGCTTAATTTTTATGTGATAAAAGTGATATAAATAGGTTTTGATTATCTTTTTAGTAAATGTTTAATTAAACGGCCGAATGACATAAAAAGTTGCTTCTCTCTTATCATTTGGTACTGACTGAAGACATCCGAAATACAAGCAAATTGATATTTATAAGAGGATTGAAATGAAAAATATTCCTTTTGATTCATTTAATTATAGACGTCAGAAATGAGTTAAAATTATGAGTTATGAAGATGACAGACATCACAGCTCCATGAGAATCGTTGAAACACAACAGCTATTTACACAAATAGCTCACAAAAGTTATAAAATTTGTCTTTTTTTTTCTCATATCTGTTCTCAATTTATTCGTTCATACTAACATTTATATTTTTACGACTTTTTTTTTCTTATTTTTCTTTCTACGAGGAATTCCATGAAATGGAAAATCTTGAAAATAATCGTACCTTTTGTTCCATTTACTGGTATTGTCAAGGTGACATGATCTCCTGAGATTGTTGTCGTTGAAGCTATAACCTGCTGCTGAGGCTCATCTGATGATGCTCCAGCTGTTACTGAGCTTACACGGAATCTTCCACCACCAGTTGGCATGGCTTCAGATGAGGTAGATCAACTACTAATAGATGATCGTGTGAGTTAAACTGAAATGTATGCTTGATCAACTTTTGTTAATGAAAGGGCTGTGACAATAAAATGACGAGAACAGACAAAAATTGCGGAGGAAATAATGTAAACCTCAGTTGAGGACCTTCGAAACAATTCGTTTTACGTCTTCTGTCCAAATGTTAAAGAGCAGCCAGAGAACAAACTACTAGATTTGAAAGTTGAGAGACCAGGACGAAGTTATTACGAGGGAAGGAAGAGTAAAAAATTGCAAGGAAGAACGAAGTTGAAGTAAAGCAGAGATATAAGAGAAATAAAGAGGGGAGAAGACGAAAAAACCAACCGTTCGGTGCAAATTGCAAGAATAAAAATGAAATTCAAATTTCACGTGAATGTTTGACGTGCATCGTTTTGGCGCGGAAATACTTGAAAGAATTCAAGAAGTCAAATTGAATGACATTAAAATGAAAAGAAATATAAAGTTTCAATAGAAATATTGGAAGGAAAAGTGACAACTGGCAATTAGCATACAGCAAGAGTAGATGAAGCTGTGCAAGCCCCACAAGATAGATGGAAATGGAGAGGAAGTGCGTGAAACATTGAGTGAACGCAAAAATTAAGACAAAAATGTCATTAATCGTGATTGAAACAATAAGATTCAGACAAAAAAAAATAAGAAAAGAAGGATAAAGGAAATGTTGAAAACGCCTTCAATGATAAGAATTTCTGAAGTATGTGAGTAAGAAAATTAGAGTGATAGCGTTTAATGTGTTGATTGAGTAGGAAATGAAAAATAAGTAAAATCTTGCAGAAAATAAACTTTTGTTTATTTAAAATGCCTTAAATAGATAAATAAATGAATATTGCAAGAAGGGATGAATGTGATGATGTGCGTGAATATCTGTGTGTATGTGCCTGTGTTATATGTGTACGGACTCTTGTGTTAGTTTGAGAGAGAAAGTGAGAGAGAGGGAGAAGAGAACAGAGAAAAAAAATATAAAATGAATGTTAGAGAGAGAGGGAAAGAGATAAAGGGAGAGAGAGCAGTCTCTGCTAGTAGAAAGCAGTTACGAAGCTGAGACTGCTATCCTTCTTGTGCTCTCACTCTGTCTCTCTCATATAAATTCTGCTTCTTTTTCTATCATTCAGATCTTTTCCTCTCCTGGTTTCTAGCTAGCCTCTATTTCTCTGTTTTGTTGAAAAAGCCAGTAAAGCAGAGATATAAAGAAGAGGAGAGAGAGAAGAAGAGGAAGAGAAAGAGAGAGAGAGAGAAAAAGACACATGCACATATATACATAGCCACAGGGGGTCATTCCATGTGCTTCTGCTTCTGCCTCCTTACCGACAATTCGCTGCATTGAAAATGAAGAAGAAGATGTAGCTGATAGAAAACGAAAATGAAAAGAAGATGAAGATGATGACGAAAGAGGAAGAGAACGACGATGTCGACGATGATGAAGTGAAATACGGAGATATCTGGAGAAGAAGAATAGAATTTACTCAGATGATACAAGTAAACGTTTCATGATCAAGTACGAAATTTTTCCGATCATTACAACTTCTCAGAATTAGAAGAATTGGAGATGAGCTAGAGAGAAAATGAGAAAGAAGGATAAAAAGGAAGAAGGGAGAGGATGGAAACAGGGTGAGAGAGAGATATCAAACGACAAATGGTAAAAAGAAACCTTCTAGAGAAGAGAGGAGGTGTTAAACAAAACGAAAAGCAGACAATCTGACTGGAATATGATAAAAAGAATCAGATGATGATGTGGAAATAACGAAGCAAAGTTCATAGACTGATAAGGAAGAATGCGAAGAATATTGAAGCAAATGGCTTCTACACTATGTCATCCGTCGGTAGGCTACAAATGTAATTTGTGTTGAGCATATTGGGCAAAAAAAAACAAAGATGGATTTCAAGAGAATTATATGAAAATCTTTTGAAAATGAGCAACAGGACCAAAAATGAAGGGAAACAGGAGAAAGAGAAAAGGAGTGAGAAGAGGAGGAGGGGGCAAGGAGGTTGGCGAAACAAAGCTGAAAAGTCACGTCCATCCAAGCAAGGACAGACAAACTGTGAACTGAAAATACAATTATATTCCGGAAGAACAAAAAGACGACTCCGTATGGAGGAAGGAGTTTGAAATCTTTTGAAGATTGTCCACGACGAGTGAAGACGACAACTCATTTCACAAATGACAACTGAAGACAAAAATGCTTTGCCGAACATCCGATGGATTTCGGCGGAATCTTCATTTTCAAAGGCGAAAGGAAAGCAGATGAAGTAGTGGAGTATTTCTGACAAAACTAGCACTAAAAATTTAAAAAATATTAATGAAGGCCAAAACAAAAGGTGAAAAATGGTGGTCGAGAGGGTGAGAGATAGAGAGAGAAAGTATGGAGGAACGATTGAAGGAGGGCGAGCAAAAGAAAATAAAGAAATGTCATGGGAAAGTGGTCGTTCTCTAGTGATAATTCAGTCTATAAACTTGGCCAACAGTGATAATCCTAGAAAGTACCGGAAGAAGTCTGTGATTCTCTTCAAATAGATTCGAGTACTCTCTTAAATCATATACAATGATGAAAAGAGAGAATCAGACTATAAACAAATAAAAATGACGAGGTTTGCCTTTTATGGAATAAAAAAAAAAGTCAGAAGAAGCTTAACAACGAAGAAGAGGTTTTTGCGTAAGCAATAAAAAAACGAAGTAGGGTTGTGTGGGTATACTGAAGAAGAAAAAAAAGTTATTTTGGAGGAGTGTAGAAAGGAAGTTTCAAAAGAAGAAGAAAACGGTTAAAATAGAATAATTTATTGAGAAAACGATGAAATGAATGAAAAGTTGGACAGAAGATGTATGTTCAATAGATAAATTCAATTTTCTTATTTTGCACAGATCGATTTGACAAGAAAAAAACGAAAAAAAAATACATGAGAAACTGAGGAAAATGAGGTTGAAAAGCGACTTAGTTGAAGACAGAAGACTCCGAAAGGAAAAATATCATTAATGCTAAATTTTATTTTTTTTTCTCTTTACCATAATTGGGTTGAGCTTGAGAAATTAGTTGAAATATGTTTTCTTTTTACTTTTCTCCTATCTTTACAAGTTTGTAGACAAGCAAGCTTTACAAGATCTGTTCATATCTCTCTCTCTCTCTTTGCTGACTATGTATACACACACTCACATATATAGTTAGTTAGTTAGTTAGTTAGTTATAAAAAAAATATGTTTATATTATGAATGATGTAAAAAGAATGTTAGAAGGCAAAACAGAGAGCAGAGGGGACTAGAGAGAGAACTAGAGAGGGAAAGAGATGGATGGAAATAGAAAGAGAATGCAGAGCTGAGAGATGAATTTTGTTTGAAAATTGCTATAGACAAGGCTAATTTAATTATTTTTTATAAAATTTATTAGCAGAGCCACGAGAAGGAGGTCCTGATGAAAGTAAAAGCAATGAAGCGCAAATCCTGCTTCAGCCTTTTTTCCTTTATAAAAACTATGGGAAAAAAGGATAACGACCGGATTTTGTGCACTTGATATGGCTGTTTGAATGTAAGTAAAAGCAGCAGTAAAAAGAAAAGGAGAAATGACAAATTGCTCAGTTAAACATGGAACTATAGAGAGACAGAAAGAGAAAGAGAATGAAATATATACTAGAGAGAGAGAGAGAGGGAAGGAAGCATAAAGCTTGAAGATGAAAACAGTTTCAAACGTTTGAAAGAGATAAAGAGAAGCTAGAGATGAAGAGAGCTAGAAAGTGGGTGGGATAAGAGAGTTGAAAATGAGAAACAGAAGGAAGGTAAACGAAGCCATCTTTGAGCTTTAACATATTCTTCTTTCTGTCAGCTTAAAACGGCTGAAAAATATAGCTTTCATTTAGCTCATTACTAATGAACAAATTAACAATGAAGGACGTTCTATGAAAAAACACATGATGATTGACATTATTCATCATAATTATAACAACTCCTTTTTGAAAATTTATAATTTACTATAATCATAGAAGAAAATATAAAATTCTCTGATATTCTCGTTAGAGTCTAATGATAATCTGATTAGAAAGGTCGATAAAGAGTGTTAGAGGGAGTGAGTGAGTGAGAACGAAAAATGCAACCGCTCCCTGTTATGTGTTTATAATGAAAATGAATGTAATTTGAAATATTCACGACAAACGTATTTCACGTGTCATCACGTGTTATATATGAAATCTCCATATGCTAATGAAGAGAGTGGGAGAGAGAGAGTGCGTGTGTATGTGTAAACATTCAATTTCAACTTTTTTTTCAACTTAAAGCTTATAGTTATATTTCACTCATATTTCATTTCTAGTAAAGAAGAACTATTAATTTTTATGTAAAAATCCATAACGAGTGAGCAAATCTGCATCTGAATAGACAGACATCGTCATCTGCTGAATGACGAATGTAATGTGTTCATTTCAATTTATATTTATAGAAACAAATATAAAGCTGAAGGTAGTTCATATGAACGGGGTCTTATTTAACTAGTAACTCGTAAAGAAGCAATTTCATATAAGCTGATGATTTAAGATAAGAATTGATAACCTTGTAACTCCTTTATGTTGTCGATGATCCTTTGCTAACCTCTAATTCTATTTATATCATTCTTATCTATATAATCGCTATAGTTATTTCTCTGCTGAATAATCACGCGAACTAATTCAATTTAGATGTTCTTATCAAATTCATGGAAAAAGTTTTTTTTTTTCTTTTTCCTATTTTCATACTCACATCTTGCTTCTCTAGATGATGCCTGCCACACAACTCAACAACTCTTTCTACATTCGATCTCATGCTCAAAAATGAAAACATGAAATTTGCATAAGAGACTCGTCAAAACTTTCTTTTTTTTATTAGGTTTTTGGTTGAAATTTTAATTCGAAATTCGAAAAATGAAAGGGGGAACTTCGTATGACGGTTCTGTAAAAGTAAATGATATGTTTTCATATGGGAAAGTGAACAGAAAGCTGAAAGAGCGTATCAAAATGGAAATTCATCCAAAGGGAAAACGTAACTCAAACGAACAGAAAACTGAGTACTGGAAGTGAAATACTATTTAAAGAAAGCTGAAACTTGAAATAATGGGAGATGCAGCCAGTCGTTGGATGTTGAATGAGAGAAAAAAAAAGTGAGGACAGGCTGAAGCAATAGATTGAAAATGCTTGTTTTGGAATGTTTGTGAAAGAAATGAGAGTTCGAAGAGCTTGATGTATGAAGCAATAGATAGAAAGAGCAAATTAGGAGAGAAGGCAATGTCAAAACAATTTCGTTTATGTTGAATTGTGAGAGATTATTCAATGAAATATAAATAATAACTCTAACAAGTGTTTAAGAATGATAAGAAAATGTTTGAATCATGCTTCATGATTCCTAAGAGCACATTTTGAATTCTTATTTTGATGATCACAAACATTCACAAAATAGATAACGTTTTACTGATTGCATTTTTTATGCAAAAAATTCGTTTGAAGCTTCATTTTCGATGGACGGAGTTCATGAAGCGGTTGTGCAGTCGAAAACTACGACATCTCAAATCACTCTCACTGGGTGAGAGTGAGAAAGAAAGAGCAGAAAAAAAATTATTTTGAGCGAAAGAAATTGTAAAATAAAAGACTTTTCACGGAAAAAGCTCGAAAGCCTACCTCAGCCAGGAAGCATCAGGAAGTAAGATGAACTATGTTTTGATCGAAAATATTCTTCTCAGCGTGCTAGATCATACAATTTATATTTTTTGCTGTTGTTGTGTAAACCTCTTTCACCTCAACTCTGTGTCTCTCTTTCGCATTTGTCTGTAAATTACTTCTCATTTCTTTGAGTCAATCAGCACCAGCTGCTCTTTTAATTTACGAAATAAACATTATGAAAGTAACATAAGGATCTTAAGTAGTTTCTTGATATTCACAGCAGCCGTCTCCTAGTAGCTGCCTCATAAAGAAAAGAACAAAAAAAAACTTTCATTCTTAAGGCTTTGAATATAAATGATTCTTTCGTTATGGATACAATGTACATACATGAACTTCAAGTTTAAAGAATAACAAGAGATTGGTTTAAGCGTCGGAGATGCTCCAAACGATCCTGACGTCTTTTAACTTTACGCTCTCGCTTCTCTAGTTCTTGTGAACTTATAATTTCTAACTCCTTTATAGGAAGTAGATTTAATCTGGAGATCGTTGTCGTTTCATCTGATTGAATTGTCGTCCCGTCTACATCTTCGATCTCTCTTCCTTCGTCAACATTCACAACTTTGGCTGATAGACCATCAGATTCTTCATCCGCTTTGATATTGACAACTTCCTGTTCGCTGCCGTTTTCGTCCAGAACGACTGGCTCAGACAACAGAAGTTGGGTGGAGTTAGAAGACGAGTTGGCGCTTACAATTCTTTTTTCGATTTCATTTGCTACCGCTTGATCATCGTCGGAGTTTTCTAGATTAATGTCTCGTAAAGCTTTCGCAAAGTCAAAGTTATCTGAAAAAGGGATGCGTGTAAACGAGCTGGGACAAATGAAAACCTTTTCCATCGTTCAAAGTGTCAGCTAAAAATTTATCATCTTCATCTCCAGAATCATCTGAAAAAAAACTGTTCAAGAAGCCATGTAGGGTGCAAAACGTACCGAAAGTCTTTTGATCATTAGCTGGATCCTCTTCTGGCAACAATGGTGGAAAATCTGTGATCAGTTAAATGACTGTGCGATAACTAAATAGGCATACCTCCTGTTCGCTCAGACAAACTCAACGCCGATCTTAACCTACTAGATTCTTCCTCTGCACTTGCAGCAATCTGTGTTGAATCACTACAATAAGGAAACATGAATGAATGAGTTGAAAGGGCTAGACAAAACCTTCCTATAGAGATTATAAAGAAAATTGTAGTTAAAATAAATCCTAAAATGAATACTGGACGATAACGAGACAATGATAGCTGCCGTAGTAATATTTGAAGAGTAGGTGGTGGCATTTCTATATATAAAGCATTACTAACATGAAAAAATCGGTTTGAAAACGGAAATTTGAAAAATATTCATTACAGAGCAACGATCAGTTGAAGTAGCATATAGTTTCTGAATAAATGGAACAAAATGATTTGGAATTAAATAATAATGAACAAGTTTGTTATAAAAACTATTAAAATGCAAACAAGAATGAGGAAAGAGGATTTATTTGGAACAAAGTTCGAAGGCAAGAGATTCCACGAATATCTCATTAAGAATAAAGAAGGAATGATTTCACCCGAAAGATTCTACCGGCTGATTTCGGTTGAACTATCCTCTCTCTCTTGCCGAGATAGTTTTACCTGTCTTTTTAAGTTCGTGTGAATTCTTCTTCCTTGATCGTATTGTTTCATCTAAATAGGTCGGATCAACCGACAAACAAGCAAAATGGAAATTGAAAGTCAGACGTTTTCAAAACACTTATGAGAGAAGACAATACAAACTTCTGACCGATGTTCATATATGCTTAGAACGCTACGAGGTCGTATGTTACTACGCTGAACATGAAAGACGAAATAAAGTGAATTCATTTGTAGTGCTGTTGTTGTTTCGAACAATTGTAATCTGATGATTAAGCGAATTATTTCATTTAATGAATAAACTTCATTAGAACCAAATACATACAAAAACAGGAGTGGAAACGATAATAGCCAGATGAAACGTAGCAAGGCTTTAAGGTTTCTACAGATTCTTATCCAATTATAGCTTCAACATCTTTCATGGATAATACTCCTCTTTTAATATTTCGAAGTCTATATTCATCGGCTCTAGAAATAATTCTTTCAACTAATTCCGTTGTTGAGATAACTGGCGTTCTGATGGTTTCCAGAAAACGATCAGCTCTCTTAAATAAACATATATACGATGGGAATTCTTTTTGATTTATTTTTCTTCACCTTAAATGGCTCATAGCAGTCATCGATTGTTGAGACTGTATTATTAATTTCATAAGGAATAGAATCATGTGCAACAAGATCAATCTGAAACAGATTCATATGAGGCTTGTGGTGTTCCACTTGATCATACCTCATGCTTATTAGCAAATGCAATTGTTGGATAGAACGGCGGATAGGCTATAACTTCATCTACAAATGTACAGCATTCCACACTTTTAACACGTTCTTCATGAGTCATAACTGTTGGGCCCGACTTAAATTGAAGACAATCAGCATCAGTAACAACTATCAATGAATTTTCTTATTATTGAGTTTCAAATTGCTTTCAAACCTCCTACAATCAAATAAATGTTCTTAAACGCCGTTTTAGCTTGTTTCAATTGTTCCATATGACCATAATGGAACAAATCATAAGCGCCATCGGCATAAACTCGTATTTGGCGATGGCTTTCTTAAATGTGAATATAGCTTACGAGAGAAATTTGTTGCGAAAAAGGAAAAATTAAGCAGATCGATTGCTCCGCTTACCTGGATCACGTCTTATTTGGGATAAGGTGAGTGGTTGGAAAACAGACATGCTTTTATTTACAAAACAAGAAATCAAACGACTCTTCAGTCAAGATGAATTCTGAAAATTCGTGGATATGTTGATGAGGACTGGATAACGATAGTAAAAAAAGTATTTAAAATTTAATCGAAGCTATCAGTCATGTACTAAAAGAGTTTAGTTTCCATGACTCCCATTGTGGGTTTTGTTAACTCATACGAATAATCGATGAAATGAAGCAGATTAGAAGACGTTAGAGATAATAATAAGAATTCAAAATGTATTATACAGAAAGAAGCAGAGATAAAAAGGTGGATGAAGAAAGAGAAAGCAAAGTAAATAGACGATGAGAAGGATTGAGGCTATACAATGTAAATAGAATGACAATTAGAGAGGGAAGCATGGTGACATGAGAAATGAAAAAATTTTCTTTTTCTCACTTTTCATTATAGAAATGAGAAAATTGCCAGGCACAAATCTATATGGTTACACATGGAGCTTCCATTGACCACGACACTGTTAACAAGCATTGATAACACTAATTATATTGAAATATTTTATTTTTATTATGGTTAACATGTTGTCTGCGCTGGTTATAGATAGAATGCGTGATCAGGAGCAACCGCTTCACGCCCTTGATTCAATCAAAAATGACTCACCATCCACGTAGTTTTTCACGTGAAATTCAAATTTGCGGATAACAAACATATACTTATATAGAATGTAAAGAATATAAAAAAAAGGTTTATATTCATATATTATTTGATGGGAAATTGCTAGTCACATTGATTGAACGTTTACTCTGACGCTTACTCATCCAATTCATTTTCGTATGAAAATGGATCATAAGCAAGGTTGAAGCAACTTTTTTTTGGTCAGCTAACAAACAATGTTTTTTTCGTAAAAGAAAATATAATTTACTCATATATTATGCTGTATAAACATGAAAAGCTCTCTTTGACATTTAAAATAATCTATTTATCAACACAAAACGAGCTGTTTCTTCTCAATAATTACGGATAATGCTCTGAAATGAAAGGAAGGGGATGAAAAAGAAATGAACAGAGAAAGGCAATAGCCTACTCACCTCAACAACAAAATTGCGATCATATTGTCTGCTAACATCTTGAAACTTGGTATCACCTAGAGAAATGCAGAGCTTCAAATATAAAAATAACAAGATTTGTTACCTGTGGGTAGCATTTCGACTGTTCGACTCCAATGTCGTCCCTGATTCGGTCCATCACGCAGAACAGTGTCAAGCTCACCCTAATATTGATAAATATATTAATTATATATATAACTATATGATCAATATAATATACCTTCCATGTTCTTTGATTCTGTTCATCAACTAACTTTCCCGAATCATCTCTCCATTTCCAATTATCTTCCACTTTTCTTTCGACAACTCCTATAAACACAAGTATTATGCTGTAGAGTGCAGATATACAAGTTATATGCAATGTATTGATCTGATTCTTATTAAAATTATATATAATTGAACTTTAATTTATATGTTTGAAAAGAAATTTGCCTTACTTCTCTTCATTTTAAATGGCAAATTGATTGAATTATAGCTTTACATCCACTTGAATACTTCCAAATATTTCTCTCTCTTCCTCCTTTTCTGCTCCAAATTTTAGAAATAAAAACCGTTTTTTAGGATATTCCCATCGACATCATGAACATCACGGTCAGTTTTCTTTTTCTTTTTTTTTCTTTTCTCATATTACACATTGTCTTTTGATGAGCACAAATTATATTCTTTTGTGTGTGTGTTGAAGAATAATGGATTTATTCTTACTTCTAGCCATTGTTGTGATTAAGCCATCATCGTTCTCATCAGCAAAACTTGTGAACCAAGTATCTTTCTCGACTGGAGCTCCAGTAGCATTACTGACTGGAGGCCATTGTCGAACAGTGCTGCACACAGTTCCTTTAACACGACACTGTTATTGATACCTTCTTCACATGTTTACCTTGTGTTACTGAATCTCTGTCGTAAGCAAAATTTGATCCTCGATCAAATGCTGTTGGTGTTTTGCTTTTTCTTGATGTGTGTGATGTAAATGGCATTGAACTATAATAACTATTTCTTTCGTCTCTATTGTTTTTCTTTCTACCTGTAAGCAGAGCTTTGTTGGAAAGGTGTTGTTCGGCCGGCTGAGTCTTGACTGTGAGGGCCAACTGATCGATGTCTTTGACGAACTTCACTTTCGCTGAAAACAACATTTTTAAGAACAAATCAAAACAAAATAGAAAATTGGAGTCCTGAACATAAAATATTAAAGCAACTTGAATGTGATATTTGGATTAATAACGCTAGAATACATGCTATATCTAGTTCAATCCAAAATTGCACAACTTTGAAAGTGCTGTTAGATGTTGCAATTGCTTGAAGCTATCAATGTTCAATTGACTGCTATGGCAACAACAAAGAGGTTAACTGTTTCTTCTACTTTTGTATTTCCACGGTCATTCTTTCCCTCCTTTCTTTCCCATCTTATCTCTGGCTGTAAAGAATTGCATGTACTTTGCATAGCAAACTCCCAGATTCTAATGAAGAAAATTGTATTTTCAATTGTTATTATCAAGTCTTTTTCAGACAGGAAAATAGTTAAGAATATTATGAGATATATTGGGAGAAATTTGCTTCAACGAGAGAGGGAGAAGGGGGGGGGGGTCCGTTTACCGCATAATGAATTCCCAACTCTGATGAATAGACGTTGCCATGGCTTCATCGTATGAATATTCTTTTCTTTTTCATGAAATTTCTAATTTACAGTACAAAAATTAATTTTCATAAACTTTTTTTTCTCAACTGATATGTACACCCTCATCCTCCTCTGCGGATGCTCTCTCATTCTCTCTTACTCTCTCTCTCTTCCTCTCTGTTGAATTATGTTTGTCTCCTATCTCAATTTCGTTCAAAATAGATTATCATGTAATGAAAAAGAAGAAAAAAAATAAACAGCCAAATGTTTTCTTTCCGTACATAATACCCCAGAGATTACCTTTCTCAGTAGCAAAAACCTTTCAAATTCAAAAGAGGTTTACAGTTTCCAAACTTATTCAGCAGCTCCTTTATTTTCAGAAATATCATCTGGCTTTGGTGACAATAGTTTCATAAATATTTTTTTATCATTCATGTATTATTAGAGCGATTTGGATATAAAAGAGAAGAGAGAGAGTGGGCGAGATAGTGAAAGATATGAAGAGAGTGAATGCGTAGAAACTCATAGAAAAGTCAGATATGATTCGATCAGATCTAACATTCCCTCAAAATTTATGCATAAAACCTTCTGAGTAGTTTTCTCTCAGTCTCTCATTTTCATTTTCTTTCTGTCACCACATGGCCCTTATGTCATTTATTATAGAAATTAATCACTTACGCGTATGAGATTTTAAACGTTTCGGCTTATTTAATAATTTTCATAAAAGTTTTTTTTTCTTTTTTCGGACATTACGTCAGTTTCTACGAGTATTGACATACCTCTGATTGTATGGAGAGCTGTACGCCTGATATGAATGTGAAGGTTTTTCGTTCACAACAGTATTTGATCGATAATACTGATATCCATTTGAGTTACTATCATAGCCTGAGCTTGCCTCGCCTCCATAGCTTTTCATGCTGCAAGCGGGTGTGACAGGACGAGAATCGTAAACATTCGTTCTTCTATAAAAAGTTGAAAATAATCTTTTTTTTTATCCTCTACTATGTATGTGAAAACATTATTGTTGGAGCATAAAAGAAATAAGAATAACCTGTTGATCTGATCTCTCATCTGCTCCACCTCTTCGACAGGAGAGAAGACACTTCTTCCAATTCGATAACCATCCCCATTTTGCTGATTTTGTTGCTTCGGTCTTAAATTCAAGATATGCTCATATTGCTCACTAGTATAAATAACCTAAAAACGAACTGCGCTTCATCATCCGTTGTATCCTCCAAACGCGAGACAACTTGCTCGAGTCGTCTCATTGTTGGTCCAACGCTACTAGCTCGATACGAGTGAGGAGTTGTAGCACGTTCGCGTCTGAAATTTGAAACTTTTCTAGAGAGGCGAACAAAAAAAGGAATTCTTCCATATTTCCGAATTTGGAATTGATTCGAACGGTTAAAACATTTCCCAATAGTGTATGCCATCTCTCATTCTCTTTCTCTCTAATGATCTTTAGGTCTTTCTTCCTTACTGCTTTATCTTTCTAAGTATATTCTTTATGAACAAACATATATCATTTTTTTAACATAAAATTTACATATATTAAGATTTCACATTTTGAATTGTTTTTCTTAAGAAAATGAATCGAATTTATTACTTTTCATCAATGCTTCTTAGAGTTTCTACTCGTTTTTCTAGCTTTTGCTCATCCAACTTTCATTTAGTTTGTGTTTCTATCTCTCTTCTTCTTTTTCTGTCACTTTCTTTCAATATTTATTATTTCAATATAAATATATTTCATTTTATTTCATGATAGTCTATCGCTTCAAATGAGTTTTAGCCATGTGAAGGAGAAGAAGAAGCTTTCACCGTAAACTTGTCTAGCGTGTCTAAGCGAAATAGATGAAGCTTCAAAGTGATCAAATGAGATTTTTCGAGAGTACAACTCTCCAAAATGTTCCATTTAAAGCTTATTCGCATCTTCGAATATTTCAATCGGCATGTCACCGATTGAATAACGAAAGCATACAAGCTCTAATACACAACTATTAAGAATAGATGCGTATGAAACAAATAGAATTTGTCGAAACACGCGAAATGAGCGTCCAAAAATAAAAGTTTTACTGACCTTTCTTGTGTTTTCCATTCAGCCATATCTGGATGACAGCTTTGAGTCATTTCTCGTTGAGCTGAGTGACCACGTTCTTGACGGAGTGCTCCTAAAACATCATTTTTTAATCTCTATTCTAATTTCCACGTATACTTTCACGTGAGATATCATCAATCAAACATTCATTTAGCAAATGGCTGGCGTGCAACATGGTTGCTTTACATCTCACTCTTTCTAACTCTCTCTTTCTCTCTTTCTTTCATTCCTCCTGCTCCCGTTCTTTATATTCTTTCACTCTCATCTACTTCCTAAGCGTCTATTTTTTCCTTACTCATCCTTTACATTCACAATTACGCTCTTTCTTTCTTCTCTTCAAAAGTTCAAAATAGTTTTGGCTTTTTTTCTGTTTAACAAACAATCTGAAATCTTCTGCAGATTTTCTATCATCATCGCATTCCTGAATGTCGCGCTTTTAGCTTCACATATTTTCCAATCCCAATCTTATTTCATATACTTTTGCAAATATGTTTCTCCAAACATGACACAACCTTTCCATTCAAAGTTATCCATGAACTGATTTTGTACTACATGCTTTTCTATCTATTTATATTCATTAATAAAAGAAACATTCCATGTGTTCTATATTGTTCTTACTCAATGGAACTACACTTTTCTCACACTACATACCTGACAGTTCAGCCATTAAGTCTGCTGGAAGGTTTGGAATTCCTCCTTTTACTTCTTTGAATTCCTTCGAAGGCGTTTTTCTCTCGGACAAATCTCTTTCCACTGACGTTCCAATTCTAATTGGCTTTGGAGGTGGTGGAGGGGGTGCAGGTGGTGGCACAGACATTTCTCTGAGACTGAACGAGAATCAATTATAAGAACTTTTATTTCTAAAACGGAGAGAAAATATGTTTCGAAACATTTGAAATCGTTTTTTGTTCGTCTGATGTAAAATAGAAAAGTGAAAAAGCTGATAAATTTAAAGTAGATGGTTGTTGAACTTGTGCGAAAACAATGAAGAGGTAATTTATTTCTTTTGGCGGCTCTTCAAATAATCAAAAAAAACTTTATCTTGTTTTAGAATGAGTAGATAGGGCTGCATTATATTACATGATTGTAATATAGACTAGTAAATAGTACATACCTGTCTTGAGTTACGTGGGTATCGGCCGGTTCGTCAGTAACTGGAGCATATACCCTCTGAGTGTAGAAGGATTCTGAGTCCGATGGCGTGGGGGCAGCAGCTGTTGGAACAGTAGATTGCTGATCGTCCATCAGTGTCTGATCATCGTCAATATCCAAGATAGGATCAAACACGACTTTGTTATAGTTTGGAGAATCACAGAAGCTATTCTGTGGTGTAAATGGCTTTGGTGTAGCAGGCAGCGTTTTAGTTGGAACAGGTTGTCCGAATATGGACATCAGCCATTGCCAGAAGTTAATCAAAAGTCGACCAACTTTGCATACCTGAGACCAAGACCATCTCGCTATACGTTTAGTATATACCCAGCCAGTTTTGAGAGCGTTACAAACACCATCATATAGATTGGAAAGGAAGCTCTTCTGCTTCACTGGATGATCTTTATATGTAGCTGATTTATAATTTTGATGATTATTATTATGACTGAATCCATTTTGAGTAAGGTTATGATTGTTTACACAGCAGTTCGTCTTAACTTGAGGTTCGATCGTTTCGCATTTCCATCGAGGATTTCCTCTGAAATGAAAAAAGTATAAAATTGTTTGTTCGAAGAAGCTTTAGATCATCTGCTCAAGTTTTTGTGTTCACAACGAAATAACTTGATTGACACTGCATGATTTCGTTTTAAGAGGGGGCTTTGAGAAAGTGAGAAGGCAGGGGGGAGAGGCGGTGGAAAGAGGTAGTGTCAGATGTCGTCACCCAATAGATGGAAATGTCGTTTAAGCCTTTCAACTGCTAGACTTCTATATAAGCTTTGGATGTTTTTAAATTTTCATACTTTAATTTATGCAAGAATTGTATAAAATATATGAAAATTATTGTTCATCCTGACTCATATGTAGAATTGAAGATGCTCTCAAAGAATGTATATAGTTTGATCATCATATGTACATGATAGGTCTATTTCTTAAGTTAAATGAAGAGTAGAGTTGTGTGATCGATTAAATAATTGAGTTCATCCTCATCTCGTATTGGATAATTTGACACTTTTGGTGGAAAGTTGTGTCATTAGGAAATGTTTCATTCCGTCTTTCCTCAGTTTAGTTTGTTTTCAATACTAGCTAATTCTTATGTTAAGGCATCATACAAGTTAAGTCTCTAAAGACTCTTTTAAACGAAAAATTCCTTTTTTTTCCCATTCATTCTTTTTCTCTCTCATCCCCTTCCCTCCCTCTCTCTCTCTCTCTCTCCCTCTCTAATTTTTCATCAGTTTTTCTCTTTATATATCTCTTTATCTCTCTCTTTATATCTATTTTAGCCCTTTCTATCGTTCGTCTTCTTTCCTCTCATTTTCCATCCTAAAGTATCCAACAATTGACATGGACAAACCCAAATGATTAGCTTCACTCTACATCTGCTTTCATCTCATACTTTTATCCTCTTTTAGCATTTTCTCTTCATATAGCCATTTTTCTTCATTATTCTCACTTTGAGAATAGATCAATGCCAATGCATCTTAACGCTATTCTAATTTTAAACTTTAAATCTTTAATTCTCCTGATTTACAACCTATGGCTATTGCATAAATTAAAATTAGGTAAAAGATGCCAAAGTTTTCAACTTTTTTTTTCTCTTCTGTCTTTAAAAGTTATTTCAATGTGTTGTTCAAATAATTTTTAACAAATCACTTTTCCATCAATTACACACAACTAGCTTCAGCCATCTTTCACAAGTTTAACAGCAAAATTTGATAAGAAGAGCATGTAACATCTACCTCTGTTCCCTTTCTATCTCTGTCGCCCTACACACATTGCCTTATCTCTCTAGCTTTCTTTTGTGTCCGTTTAACTTTCATATCTACTTGACTTACAAACATCTCACTTCTCTTTATTCTCCATTAAATTATCGTTATTTCTTTAAAATATTTTATATATATATATATATTTTAAATCGAAATAGTGTAATCGTTAATCCATTATATGTTCTGTCATTTAAATTGAGTTAATGAACTGTGAATGTAAAAGTTCAAAAATGGTTTGGCACTTTTTGAAATTTTTCAAACTACGGAAGTTAATAAATAATTTATGAAAATATATATAAATGTATGAAGAGAGAGAGAGAGAAAGAGAGAGAGAGAGAGAGGAAGAGACTATCATGTATTTCATAAAAAAAAGTCAATGCTATCGACAAATTATAAACGTTGCTCAGCTTCATTAGCATATCCTCAACTCATTTTCTCACGCTCATTTCACGTCAAAAATCTTATGAGCAACAGCAACAGATCATTATGATTCAATTTTCCCAGCAGAACGGTTGCGCTCAAGCATAATACATATTTCTAATTTATGTTTTTTTTTTCAAAAATTGTTTAAACTATCAGTTGAGACATAACTTTTTTTCTTCTCTTCTCACATTTTCCACTCCACCCACATGTTCGAACATTGAGAAAAACGTCTTAGGCTAATTATTTCACATCTTAAAAAGCAATATAGTAAGAAGCATATGACAATCTTAATATATGAAGCGGCATAAAGAGGAAAATCGTGTGAAAATAAATGAATCAAAAGGCAAAGATCAGATTTTGTATGTTAAAAGAAATTTACTTACTTGATCAGAAAATAAAAGAAATAAAATATAGTCCAAAACGTCTCAACGATATAATCCTTAATTGACGTTAGACGTGTCATCGCCTTATTGCGGAACTGAGATGAGCTCCAGCTTCTGGCAGTAGTCGAAGACTCTCTGATTTTCTCTTGCACCTTCAGAGCTAGCTTTATCCTCCTCAATATGCTTCAAGGAGCCGGCAGCTGTCTTATAGTCAGTAAATGCTAGAAGACTATGAGAGAAAATCTGAAAGAATATGAAAAAGATAAAGCAGAGAGTTAGAGAACAGGCGTTATAGAACAAAATCGGTCGAAGGTATATTCGATTTGATCGTTCAATAAATGAGGAAGACCAAAATACAAAAAAAAACAAAAGTCCAAAACGAGGGAGGAAAACAATCTTATGAACTCAAGTTGAATGCTCATCGCAGAAAGAAACTTCAATAACTGTTTCATTCACATTCTTCATCTAAGTCAGGGAAATGTTATGTAAGCTGGTTCCTCCTCTGTCTTTCTCTTTTTGAATCATTTTTTGAACTTCTTTTTTTGGATACTGACCTTTCAATTTTGGACTTTTGCATGTGGGATGTCAAGCTGACGCCTTCTTTCAACACTCTCCAACAGCCTGGGGCTGTTTGAGTCAAAGCTATTTCCCGTTCAAAGTAACTTCTTTCTTTCTCTATCTCACTATCTTTCTATTTTCTTCTTTTCAGTATTCCTCTGCTTTTTCTTACTTCTCTTTGTGGTTTTCTCAAATTCTGTCTTTTCTTTCTCTCTCTCATTCTTTCTCAAGCCGTCTAGGTTCTTTCCTTTTTATATCAGTTCTCCCCTGAATTTTTCTATGCTTCATCCTAAAGCATACATGCAATTTACGCTCTTGCACAATTGAATCATCGCAACAATTTCTCCGTCATCTCATGATCATGTTCCTTTTGTCTCTCTTTGGTTCCATGAAAGCACTTTATTCATGACACGTGCGGTTCATTTTTTCGCTTTCGATAGCCTTTCAAGTTGTGGATACTCGAAATGGAGAACTTCTTTGATATAATTAAATTAGACAACTAGGATAAATTCATTATTTTGCTCCCTAAATGTTTGTTTTCCGTCAAGCGGCTTAGTATACTCTCATCTTCACAATTCATTACAATATGCGCACAACCTTCAATCCTAACCGCATGAGCTATTTACGTTAGGCTTGAAATCTAATTAAAGCTAAGATGGAATGAGCGGCTCTCAGAGAGCCATTTCAAGCCTTGTTAACTGATCTCAAGTTGAGCATGAGAGCCAAATGTCAACTTCCCCCTCACATAATCAATCCCAACGTAGTGTTTTTTCTTTTTTTTTATCTTCTTTTCTTTCCACTGCCATTTAAGTAAAATTTCATTTGTTGTAACGTTGGTTAAGAGAAAAAACAAGACAATTCTCTTCTTCACATAATCGAAAAAACTTTGAAAATTAATTTTTTTTCATTATTTTACTAAATTTCACTTCTTTACTTGTAGTTGCCTTATGGCACCAGCCTAACCATGTTTCGCAGGGTAAGTCCAAAGAAGATACTGCCAAGTGGAAAACAGCAGGAGAAATCGAAACCATCTGAACAAGAAGCACCTAAAACAGATTTCTCTCTTAAATCATGTAGTTCCAGAATCTATATAGTATTATCAGATCCTCAAGGTATTCTATATCATGTTAAAGTTGTAAGACCACAAGTTTCTTTTCCAGAGTTTTATGTTGAACGCAAGCTTCTTCTGCAAGAAGTGCTACCAGAAATACAATCTTTCGCATTCAATATGGGCATAGACATTGAATGGTTTGATCCATATAAGGAAAATGAGAAGTTGACAAACGAGATATCCGAAAAGATAATGAATGCAATGGATGACGACAAAACAATTGTCATAGTATGTTGTTTAACATTTTCAAACTACAATCTTGCAACTTATATAATTCTATTTGCTTCTTGCTCTAGATTTCTTAGAAATTGAGTTATTTCAGTGTTTTTTGGGAGATAAGTGGGGATTACCCAAAGCTCCGCTCGAGTTAAAGAAAGAAGAGTTTGAGAACATTCGACAAGCGATTTTCGAACAAAACGCAGGTAAAATCATAATCATATGATGATAATTCATATACGACTTCTACAGATGTAAAATTGTTAGATAATAATTATGCTCTGGATAGAACATGCCGAGAAGATATCTATAAATTATGCCGACCAGAAGACAATAAACTGTCTTCTAAATTAGCCAAAATCATCCAGAAGGGAGCAACAGCGGTATTTTGTGTCTTTAAAAGAATTCTGTAAAATGAATTTGCATCATGTATAGGCCTTCGAAGAAGGAGCCATCAATCAAGTGCATACAAACAATCAGAAACGTTTCGGTTTCTCACCCATACAATATGTAACTGAGAAAGCTCTCCAAATTGGCGAACGATCCATCTTTAGCTTGCGTTTGTTTGAAGGTTTGAACATGCTCTTCTCCTCAATATTTTTTTACCAATATATATATATATATATATATTTATATATTTATATATATTGGCTATGCTAATGTATGCAACCGTTCCTAGCTACTAATTCTCTTCGAAATGAAAATTTGAAAATATGCAAATCATTCTTAGTTTGCGTCAATCGAATGCGGTTGCTCCTACATTCTTTCTTTTGTTTTTCAACGAATAAATTCATTTGCTTAAAAATTTAATTGATTTAGGTGCAGCCCATGATGTTGGCAAAAACAGCATATTTGTTGACAAGTCTGATGAAGGCAAATCAAAGATAATGGATTTGAAGAATAGAGTTCGTTGAGATAATACAATTTGAAAGAAAATACGTATATTTATAGGTAGCAGCCTCATATGAACGCGAGAATGTATTTAATCATACACTATACCCTGAGAATGGAGATATCATATCATTCCTAAGTTCAAAAGATGGCGAACGTTATGTTGACACATTAACTCGTCAACTAACTGATCGTCTGAAATCGCTTCTCAACAAAATTCACTCAAATAAAGTACCATCAGCTCCGTCTAACATTCACGAAATTGCGAAAGCCGAAGATTCAACTCATACAAGTTGGTTAACATTAATTATTTACTTAAAAACACTCTTACAGAGCATGCATTGCGTTGTTTGGAGAAGCCTTGGTTATCTCGAGCAACATTGGATAACAAAATAACGGAATTACTAAATACAAATGCTAATTCTGGAGGCGTTATCTTATTACAAGGTCCGGATTTGTCATGTAAAACAAGATTGTTATGTCAATTATATGAAAAAGCTCCGAAATCTGCTTATAAGATTATCCGGTAAAAAAGATTTTATGATATTTCTGAAAAAAAATAGTCATCTGTTCAGCTTTGTTGGTTTAACTTATTCTTCAATATTCGCCCACGAGTTATGGCAGCTAATATCGCTAAGACTATGTGAATTGAGTAACAAACCAACAGCTGATGTGCAGAAGGTATTAACACCACAGTATAATCCATATATCATACCTTATTTGTAGCTATTTACACTGAGCAGTTCAATTGAGAAGTTTGAAGAATTATGCAAATCTCTGGATAAGCCACTCTTCCTCTTCATTGATGATATCCATCTTCTAAAATATGGACACTTCTTAAGCTCCTTAACTAAAAGGCTTCAAAAGGTTCGTTTTTTTGAAACCACAATTAGCCCCATCTTCATTTCAGGGACCGAATCAACTTTATTTGTTCATAACCGCATCAAATATTAGTCCAATTTCATCGGTTTTCGTTATAACACAGACTGTAAACGTTGAACCACCTAATGAAGATGAGCTTATTTCAATGCTTCAATTGAATATATCCATAACAGATAGAAAAGTACATAGTGATCAATTGTCATCTATCAAATATCAGGTAACTATTCGATTGAATAATTGATTGAAAGGCTCTTTTAAGTTGACTGGTGCTAATTCTCATATTTGTATGGCGGAAGTTTTACTTGATGAACATTTACTGAAGCCAATAGAAAACAAAGATGGTGGAATTGAAGGTTTACAATATTCGCGAACAAGGACATGAGTTTCACTTATTTTTATTCTCTAGGACGTTTGCATCGTATTGAAGAAGAGTTTGGACAGCCAGCAGTTCAAGCCGTTTGTCGATACCTTTCAATATCTTCGCATGGGTTGACAAGACTAGAACTGTTCGATACTTTGTCTATCAATCCTGCGATGTGTAGCATATATGGAGGCCCCTGTTTTCCTCCATTCCTTCTCGATAACATTCTTCGAAACTTAGGTACTGGGAATTAATTTTTCTCTTTTCATACTCTGGTGTTCTCAGGCTCAATGATAATGATGGTCGAATTGGATAACCGCATAGTTTACCGCTTTAGTCATATTTTAATTTTGGGATTAGTCCGTCACCGGTAGTTGTAATAGGATGATTGTTTAACTTTTATCTATATGTTATAGCTATTTTGAATCCACGGGTGATCTTAAAGTGTCTCATACTGAATTGTCTGAAATGCTCGCCGATCTGAATCAGAAGAATATATCACCGCGCCCCGATTTGAGTTATCAGGTCAGACTTGAAATTTTATCATAACTAACTTCCCTCTAATAGGTATATCCACAAGCAACTAAAAGAGATAATGGTATGCCTAACATACGTAAATTGAGAAACTTGTGGTATCATCTTCTTCATACAGGTTGTTCCATTATTTTTGATATTGGTTCTTACACTTTCTATTTAGGGAATATGGATGCTTTAAAAGAGTGGACTCTATGCCAATTCGAATATGTTGATGGTGTTTCAAGATATTGTGGAATTTTGCATTTATTAACATTATATGAAGAATGTGCAATGCAAGTTCTTCATCATGATATACAAGGTAGAGTTTGTAGTGAATTTTGAAGTGATAATTCTGTTCAGTGCTATGCGAACAGGTATTACTACCTGCTTTACCTACAGTTGTTCGAGACTCGGAACAGTTAGCAGCAGAAGTTATTGGACGTTTACGGTTTACACGAGGTATAAAACTCATTCTTGAAATAATGCTATTCATGCCAATAGGTGAGAACAGTCATTTTCTGAACACTATGGTAGAGCAAGCAATGAGCTGGGTTGATACATACAATAGACAGCCTTTGATGGTTCCGCTAACTTGTTGGATCTCACCACCAATAATGAAGAGCTGTCGAACGTTCACCTTAAAAGTGATTTTTTTCAATTGAATTTCTGACATAGTGTTCATATCAGGATTGGAAGTCGAATCAAACGATCTTAACTCCTACTCACAATCATCAGCATGTTTTGATATCAGGAAATTTGGCTGACCCTGGGGCCATTTATATGTATCATATTCCTTCACAATTACTCATAAACACATTTCGAGGTTGAACGAAACATGTTAAGTAGCTTAGTGGCTATCTTATTCAGGTCACAATTCCGCTGTAACTGCATTGTGTGCATCTTCTAATGGAGTCTATTTCGTGAGCACATCGGTTGATAAAACTGCTCTTGTCTGGTCATTCGCAACTGTATGTTTTATTTTGTTAAAAACCGTTGATTTCTTATTGTAAAGGGCGAAGTCGTGAAAACTTTGAAGCCTCATAGCCAGAAAATTACATGTGCTATTCTCAGTAGTGATGATACTCTTCTTGTCACTGGTTCTGCCGACTCTTCGGCTAAGGTGAGTTGATGTTCAGAACAGTTGCATTCTCATAGTTAAGGATTTGAACTCACATGAAGGTTTTTTAGATTATTGATATCGAAACGGGTGAAGTAATACGTTCTTTCAACGAACACACTGGTAGTGTAGTTTCCCTTCAATTGACATCAAATGATCAGTTTCTCATAACAGGTTACTGAGTTTATGCAATCCCTAATATTCAGAGCATTACAGGATCTGGTGATTTCTTAGTTCAAATGTGGGATATGAAAAATGGACGCTGTATTTCAAAAATGTCAGGATTAATGGCTCCGGTCAGCTGTGTTGCGTTAACTTCGTATGTCGTATTCAAATCTGTTGAAATAAAATATTCTTTTTAGCAATGATGCTTTTGTGGCGGTTGGATGTGAAGATGAAACATTACGCGTATATAGTACTGTTTCGGGGACAGAGCTACACGAGTTGATGGGGCACGAAGGAAAAGTCAACGCTCTTGTGGCGGCACAAGATGATTGTCAGCTGTTTGCAGCGACTAAAGCAAAAATTTATTGTTACGATATTCATAACGGACAGATATTAGATATTCTGGATTGTCAACAGCCTTATCCTGTTTGTAGTCTCAAAGTAAGTGCTAAACCTTTGACCAGTCATCGTTAACGGTTCGCAGACTACTTCTGATAATTACTTTCTAATATCGGGATGTGGCCCACGTATACATGTATGGAATGTGCAAAAAAGAGTGTATGATAGACACGACACTTCGGTTGACAAGGAGGGGTTTGTTACTGCAATTGCCATGTCACCAGACGAAAAAGTTAGTAACTCTACTTGTCATGTGCCATAGATTTCAAAATCAGATGGCTGCATGTGGGACTTATAATGGGATTGTGGCTCTATGGGATCTAGATATTTGTCAATGTAGTACAACAGTTAGTTAAAAATCTCGGTGTAGTAGAATCAAACTGAAACTCCAGGTTATACAATCCAAAAGCGTACCAATTTCTTGTTTATCGTTTACATCAAACAGCACCCATATTTTGAGTGGGAATGCAATAGGAAACATTATAATTCTGGATGCTTCCTCAGGAACAATACAACGCTCACTTAATGTTTTCCTGCATACTCAATTACATCTATCATTTTCTATTTTCAGATTCATGCGTCTGAAGTCATTTCTATATGTAGCTTAGATCAAGGCAGAGTCTTGAGTTGCTGTAAAGATGGGAAGCTACGAAGCTGGAGTATATATGATGAAGAGGAAACAAATGTGCATGTTCCATAAGATTGTGTTTTTTGAAAATGGTAATTGCAGGAAACCTTCCCTCAGAATATTTTGGCTCCGATGTCAGTGCTATCACAGGGTCGTATACTGATTGCCCATTGCCCAAATAGCAATAAAGAGTAATTATCTCTTACTTTCTAGATACACAAAGAGACTACCATTTCAGGATGAAAATATGGGGATTATTAGATCAAGGTATTCTGCAGAAAAACAGAGTTCATCATAACGAAGAAATAACCTGCTATGATGCCAGTACGAATGGGACTCTTGTTGCAACAGGTATAGTTTCTTCAATGCTTTCCAATCAAATCGTTTTAGGATCGATTGATCAATCTGTGAAAATTTGGCAGATAGATTCTGGCTATTTAACTCAAGTATTAGTGGGACATGAAGACACGGTCACATGTGTTGCTATGGCAGAAGATGAACGAATAGTTGTTTCTGGGAGCAAGAACCATAAGGCAACATTCACTTTTTTGAATTTCATTGTTTTCCTATTTTAGGTTATAATCTGGAATGTCGCTACAGGAGATATAGCTAAGTCATTACATACGTCTTCTCCTGTCACTTCAGTTGCTCTGACAGCCGATGCAACTGTAGCGTTCTCAGGTATGGTTCTGCATCAGTGTAATACATGCAAGAAAGTAGGTTCTAACGACGGTTGGATAGAAGCTTGGAGTACTGAGAGCGGCAAGCTGATTTCATCTCTGAATAGCCATCGGCCTATACGACAACTCGTTCAATCTTTCGATGGCAACAGGTTTTGTTTCAAATTTTGCTGTTCATCCATATTTTTCAAGAATACTCGTTCACTTGACTGGGTGTGCTCAATTACCAATTCTTTGTTTACATAATTCTCCGGCTGGTCCGATTGAAACTCAAAGAACACGACCCCGATCGGCACGAAATCATTCCGTAACTAGCATTGGGAATGAAACAAGTGGGAATTACCAGTTTTCAATTGATTGATTGATCTTTTATAGGTGGAAGTGGTGAGCAGAAAAAAGAGCAACTTTCCAATAACAGTAACAGCATAACATCAAACGGATCCTCCACCAAGTCCGTGCAGCCTCGACCTACATTCGATAAGCTTGAGAGAACAAAGAGCCGCACTTCACTCATAGAAAAAGTTTGCGAATACTAACTTTTGATTCTCAACCTTTACTGTTCAGGACAGAACAACTACTCTGACAAATATGACCACTCCCACGCAAAAATCTAATATGTGTAACATTCTTTAATTCAACCACTACATATCAAACAAAAGCAAAAAAAAAATAATTCAACAGTGAACTTATTAAAGTATTAACTGATCAAAAGATAAGACATTGAATATTACAGATGTATCAAGAACATAAAAAAAGCTCAAGCCCAAAAGTGGGTTTTAAGTTCAGAAGCCAACTGCTCAGTCAATTTCTCAAAATAATCAGGAGATCCATCGTGCTGAAGTTTTCCTCCGGAACCTCCAGATACTTCAGAAGCGAGATCACAATCATTATAGCTGAAAAAATAATTACGATAACAAACTGCGCCAAAAAAAACGCACTTAGCCGCCTTCCAATTGTTTCTACCTCTCTTCGCAAGGTTAGCAGCAGCATAAACATGGCAAGGAACTCCAGTACTGCCCGTAACAGTCTGAAAGGAATGATCAGTTTAAACAACAAATAATCATGCATACTTGATGGCCATAAGAGAGAATGTTAGTGAGGTTTTGGAGATCGCTGCATGAGAGAATGGTGCCAGTGTTTCCTTTCTTTCTGTAGACAACAGTGCACTTGATAACACGAGCAGTACCCTAAACAATATTAACTACTCGTAGTGCACTTGGTACAAACCTGGATTGCCTTTTGTGGAATCAGAATGAATTCATCTAAGTTAGGGTTAACAATATCGCAATCAACTACAGTACCAGGTGGCACATTTTGATCACAAGGTTTAGCACCAGGATTGATTCTGAAACAATCTTCATCTTATTCACAATGGCTTAAACAATCCTTACCTAGTGGGAATCATTCTATAATTGCTCGATGTCTGACAAACAACAGTAGTCACAGAAGGATTGTAATTCCTTCCTTGAACTTTACTGATTTCAGCAAAACATTGAGAGAACTCTTTGACTTCCTGTTCAACTTTTCCATACTCGCCTTCACTGGCTCCACTACGGAAAATTATAATTTCCTCTGGGTAGTTTTTAGTACTCTTACAGTAATCTTGAAGTGCATCGAACTGTATAAAAGTAATATTGAGTCAAAAAGATAGATACTCACTCCATATTTTGCAAGACGTGAAACTGTTGCTAATCTGGATTCTTGGAACCAGAACATTCCTCTCATTTCAGTTGGAACCTTCACGCTGTAAGACATCTGAAAAAAAATTGATGCCCGAACTGAACAAAAATTGTTACCCCGACGACAGTTGGCTCACTTGAAGGCATACCTAACTGTCTATCAGCAGAAGCTTGAGCGCCTGCATGACCAACATCAAGGCCAATGAACATACGATTCTTGGAGAGCAGTCTCTCATTTCTAAACACATCGGTATTAGATATCATAAGTTCAATAGGAACTAACGATGAGGTATCAGAAGGGTTGCTTTGCTTGTAAGGCTTAGCCAACTCGAACACATGATTAACACCTCCCAATTTCGGATTGGTTTTAGATACCAAGTTACCCAGAACCATGAAGCTTCCCTTAGAAAAAAGATATAAGAAACATCCTTAAATTCAATGATTACTTGTTGGCCTATTGCTTTCGTCATGGTCTGTTTTGATACATGTTGGGTTACGATACTATATTTGGCTTCCAGGAACTTCAATGTATCTGAATAAAAACGTGAATATTATTCTGAAACTACGAAACCATACTATGCACTGGATCCAACTTATGGCTAGTGATTGCACCAATGAAGCGAACTTTCTTCTGCTTCGCTTCTTGGAAAGTTTGATCGATCAGATCATCTCGTTCCGAGGGCAAACCAATAACGGTAAGTTGATTAGCGCTTATCCTCATATTCATCTTGTTAGCTCTATCAGTGAGTTCTCGAGCAAACCTCCTATAAACAAATGAACATGCTGAAAACAACATCGTTATCTTACGTGGCTTCATCGTCCGTAGCGCATCTATCGAAAACAATGATAAGCCATGGTTCCTTCATTTCAACAGAAGAATAGAAACTATCTCTAAATCATCAATAGTTGTTAATTAATATTGATGTTGTTAACTCACGTAGCCAATCGCCAGTTCATTCCTCCATCTCTGTTCGGCTCAACCAATTTATTCTTATAGACGATTGTAGGTGGATATAAAACTTTAGCGGGAACAACTTCAGGTCTAGAACCGATGCGAACCTGTGAAAGAAGGTTTTACATAAATGAGGTAAGAGGCAACGAACTCCGAAGGCTTGCAGATACTTATTACCGCTATCAGGAGTTAGAGACAAAACTTTCATTTGCTCATGGATATTGTCCATCAAGTTGCATGGCTTGAGTTGACACTCTTTAATCATTCTTTCCACCTTAACAAATCTTAAATCGGAAAACCGTTATTACACTATGCTAACCATTGTTGGAGTGGACTTAGCCGTGGCGACCCTTTGACCTCTTTCAATATCTAATATTTCCATTGGGAAGTGAAGGCTCTTGGCACCCTTCTTTTGGACAACTAATGGCAAGTTTTTGTATCTGGGAGGTAAAAATAGAATACCGATAGACCAGCAAAACAAACTTCAATTGCATTTTATATTTTCGCTCAAAATATTCAGAAACAGAGACTTCTTGGCCATCATACGTTACAAAGTAACTGAAATTACATAATGAGATCAATTTTGCTTCTGACACTTTACTTGTCCGAGTTCAATTTACCATCAATCTTAGTAATGCTAAAAGTTTGGGATTTCATATCTTTAGAGTTAGTTTTGACCCAGAGATCTGATAATAGAATAGTTAGTTCAATTGGTACTAAAATATGATTGAACCTTTAAGTTGAGTGTTTAGCTGTTTGACATTAATTCTAGCTCTAAGCAGGTCTTCACATCTTTGAAGATTCAAGAACCTCCTAGCGAACTCAACCAAGCTGATACTCTCGAAAAATGGAGATTTTTTAGCTGAAAATAGATTTGTTTCCAATCCAATCTAAATACAATACCATCAATCTGAAGCATCATCGAAGAGCCATTTTGATCAACTACACGACAATTCTTCTGGTTTCCTGACTTGACAACTTTTCCTTCTTTGATATCGGTATCCTTACGAGAACTTTTGCAGTAAGTTCTGTTTTTGAAAACAAAGTGTTCTTGTCTGAAAGCATTCTTGAGAAATGTAACATTAGATACAAGTCCTACTGTCTATTAACCAGTGCACTAGTTAACAGTTCAATGAACTGAACAATCTCGCGGTTATCAAGGTTAGTGTTTTTCGGATGAATCTCGCCAATAGCTTGGATATTAACTTTGACCTAGGAACGAATGATGACGAGATCTGTTAAAAAAATGTATACCTTTGTGAACCTATTTCCCAAATGAGACTTAGTGTTCGAACTGCTAATGTCCGCCTATAAACCAATTCTCCTTAGTTATGAAAACGATGCTACTATCTCACCAACGTCAACTCATAGGTCATGGGACCACAATAAGGATCGAGCGTATAGAAAATGTTTCCACAATCATAGACGATGTGGTATTTATCCGTGGTAAGTGGAGTTCCTTGCTTTTGCGAAAAACTTATGAGATCCAAGAACAAGCTCGTGTTAACTCTTCTTCTATTTTGCAGAGCGAAACTTCAAAACGTCATTTACTTATAAATGTAATAACGGATAATCAAACTCAGTGCGAATTCCTGTTGTAAGTTCTTTCTCAACAGAATCATCTGCAGTGCTTTTGAACATTTCGATTCTGTATTTGTAGACCTTCTTCATATCTTCCAAGCTAACTTGGAAGAGATTTGTCTGAACTTCCAGCTCTTTTGCTCCTCTCGCCGGATTATTATTGACAGGTACTAAACAATAAATTTAGAGGATGATTAAATTTGACTTCTAACAAGGTGCTTCGAAAATGCTCCAATCTCTGGGTTCATCTTTAGGGGGTTCTTGCTTAACGTCACCCATCTGTAAATAAATAAATAATAAACCGAATAAAAGGGCTATAAAAATAAACGACTAGACAGAAGCGCAGAGTTTGCATTAATTAATTCGAACCTAGGACGCTAAGTTAGACTAAAATTAATCAATAATTTTTAGGAAGTAGATCACTAATCAACTTGAGACCATTTGCCGTACTGTACCAGTCAGTTAATGCTCATGGGAAACTTACAGTACACCTAGAGCATGAAGGCATTAAACGTTATGCAGATTGCGAAATCAATAAACTAATGAGAGAAAAAATCGCTGGGTAGGTTGGTAGGTTGAGTGAGTGATGATAATTTATTGCCTCCGATTGTTTGGCGCGGTAATATAAAGAAAAGAAACAATAGATCACACATGGTGTGGCGTGAATTACAACTATCGGAATGATAGCAGTATAACTCAATCAAAAGAAGTAAAGAAGTGTCGGACGAGTAATACCTTGAAGGATTAGTAGCGTATTAGGCAAGGATAACACTTGTAAATTAAAAGTAATAATAAAAATAAAGTGATATGCGGCCGCTACAAAGGATCACACACTTAACCATTTAATGGATGTTAAAAATAGCAAAGAAACAAGAACAATAGGAAAAACAATAAGAAATGATAAAACAGAACGATACATACTTATGACTATTGGTGCAATTGTTAAAAGTTTGCTTGCTTTTTTAACAAACAACTTCCAAAACTAAAAACCAAAATTAGATAACGTGTGACAATATGAAAATGAATGATTGCAATTAGATTCTTATCTCATATTTATGTCACCTACAGCTACGTTATGAATGGAACAGCTCGAACGTTTATTTCTACGAAGAAATCTGCGCTCGAAATTTAATGTACCACCCAACGCTGCGCTGAGAACCAGGAAGACATGACAGATGACTACGAGATAGAAAAATCGATTGGTTGAGACGGCGAGGAACGATAGTAATCGCAACATTGCATATGACCCTGCCAGTTCAGAGGTCCAGAGACAATGGTCATAATTGACCGGTTGTACTGAGAGCAGATGTCAGGGGCGTTGCAACACAAAGAAGGGCGGAGCAATTAATGCGGAATGATATGAAGAAGAAAGATTTTTTCTATCAACTGGCTATTTTTCACTGAAATTAGTACACACTTTTTCTACAAAATCGTGAGAAAAATTTCTGAAGTACAGGAGAAAAGCTGACGTAAAAGTGTTTTAGTGAAGTTAGGAAAGGAAAACGACCGATGAGTTGATAAGTTATGAGAAAAACAAAAAAAAATATCTGAAACTTTTTTTGTTTTTGTTTGTGCATTGTGCGATTGTGCACGGTGTTACTGCTCCGGCGAAAATCTATTCTTGTGCTTCACATTTGTATCAGCTTGTTTTTCAGCTTTTTTTATCTTCTTCTTGTGTCTTTGACTTTGAATCCATGGATTGTCTCTAATCTAGCGTGGTATATAGGAACAATAACTCTGTGGGATTAATTCTCGCAGATCACATCACTCAGTCACATGAACTAATTAGCATTTTCTACATCTTCCCACATGCACACGGCCGTGTGTATATAATAAGGATTTTCGTGTTACAGTTAAGCATACCCGTTGTAAGACGCAACGTTGTTTCAATCAACTTTTTTCTAAAAGCCGTTGTCTCCGTTAATTTTTGAAAAGCATCATATGAGGTTACCTCAATTTCATTTTAATTAGGGGCTTTTTGTATTCCCGAAGATATAGATGTACTTACAATTTAAAATTCATACGTAAATTGGTCTCAATGAAATTTGTGCCGAAATAGGCGTTCAGTTGCAGTCTCTGCAAGTTTTCTCGTTCAGAACATGCTGAAAGCTTTTCTCGGTGTGTTGTTGGCTTTTATGAGTCTCATAGGACTCACTATAACCTCTATCGCTCTGTACGCGGTAGGACATTTGTCTATGAAGTGAGTTTACAAATAAAATGTTGCCAACAGTAGATCAATTTTCCAGGAAAAACTCTTCTCCTATTTATATAATAGCCTCGTCTAATTTGGCTGTTGATGTGATACATCTCGTGCTATCCCTATTCTACTTGGCACCTTCCATAATCATGAACGTAACTTTGAAACAGACATGAAAGTTTTATGTTTTGTTAACATTAGGACTATATAGTCGGTGAAAGAGAATCGCTCCCTGTCCGGCTATTATCAGATACCTTTCTATTCAGTTGGTACTTTCTAACGATATCTCACATCTTCATGGCAATTAACAGGCAATTACAAGCAAATTGTTCTCATCTTACACTAAGTTTCAGATTCGTTGTTGTCTGTTTTCCTCAATACAATATATTTTCGCACAAAGTTGTTACCGCATTCGTTTTATTGCTTTATCCTACAGCTTTTTGCATAATGATAACTTCTCAGCACTTAGTACCATGTTGCTCGTAAGGCGTAAACAAATCTAACGAAAACTAATCATGACTCATAGCATCACTTTCGACCACATGGTTATGTCCTACTCTTATATCGTCGTTGGGGATAGGTTTAACATCTCAAACTACTATATTGATCTTCCTCTAAACTCTATGTCCTCCATAGTTTCTGCTGTTTGCTACATTTCTGTAAGACAGATCTCAAATACAAAAGAAACAAGTTGCGTAATTTTAGCTGATTGTTTATGTTCGAAGATCAACATCTAAAGTATTATTGAATGCGAACGATCGTCAAAGACGGAACATGAGAGAGTACATGTTTGTATTGAAAGATGTGACATTTTCTAAAAACTTTTCCATAGGTACGCTGTTCAATTCTGTGTTATCTCCATTTTCTACCTCTTCTCCTGGGTTCTTTTCCGAGTTATGCCAATTTTGGTCGGATCATTTGAACTGTCCTATGATTGGTTTATTTTTGTGTCAATATGCGTTGCCATTGATACAAGTTCAAATGGAATCGTTTATCTATTCGCTAACAGCGAGGTAAAGATCTATGCTCGAAACTTCGCGATCAGAGGAAAGATTCAGGTTAAAAAAATACTTTGGCAGAAGATGACACCATCAGTAAAGCGATTGCCGTTTTTCATCAGCTACGCTAAGAAGACGGTCCCATTACAAGTGAGTAGTCGACTTTCGGAGGTCCAAAGAACAACAAAATAAAATAATATTCGATCTCTGTTTTTGTAATTTACGTAATAAATAAAATGAGCTTCTACGTGTCCACTGTTATTTTAACCGATAATCCTAATAAGCTTTATGCTAGTAAATCTGAAAACTTAACTAGTTTTAGACAATCGAATGCCTTAGAGTTAAGTTACCAGGAATAATAGAAATCTCGGAAATGGAATTTATCTTGTTATCTTCACAATCCGGATTCTGCTGCTAGTTCCGAGTTTGTGATTTTTTTTAGAAAATTGTGATCTTTGATAACAATGGACTGAAAGCTTTTTTTTGGTTCTAATAGTTCGGGAAAGCTATTTAAGAATGACGCTCGAATCCGAACTTCTCGAAAATTTTCAGTTCTCATCATATTTCATTTCTCATCAAATTAAAAGCTCAGAATAACCGTTCTTGTCTGAGTACTCTATTCCTCTTCTAAGAGACAAAATGAAACTTTCAGAACGCATGGGAAACGTAAAAATTGGTTTGATCACAAGCTTATCAGCTATGACTACTCTTAGCTGTGTGCTTGTGACTGCTCTCATGGCCATGGATTTGAAGACTTTTTTCAATGAATCTCTAGACGAGATTAATCAGTTCGATGTTGGTATCATTTTATAACTACTGTCTGATCATTCTTTGATCTTTTTTTTTTCTATTTCCTTCTTTAAGAGTTACGCCGAATTGGCTTGGGATAACATGATAAATGTTAATTATAAGAAAGAAACCTCTTTCGTTTTTCGCACAAAGAGAGATTCGAAATGTAATTGCGCCAGTGCTCCAAGCAATTGTCCATCTGGTCCAAGAGGTGGGTTACCATTGTTGAAGTAATCATAACTGTTCATATCAGGCTCACCCGGCTTACCAGGGGAACCTGGCAATGACGGAAGACCTGGAGAGCCAGGCACTGATGGTACACCTGCTTGCCAAGCTGCATGTTCTCAACAACATCCCGTTATAGAAGGATGCGTTCAGGTATGTTTGCTGTCAACAAATATACAGATGTACAGATGTAAATAGCTTCCAAAACGGCTCAACGTGTAAATCTTAAAACAAAGTTTATCGAAAATGAAAATAATAATTTTTATATCGACACCGATTTGTAACCAGAATTTCGAATATATTCACATGACTTTCTTAGGGGGTTGTTCAATAATTTACCTCTGTCGTTCAATCATGGAAACTCCCCATTTATATGATCAGGAATCAAAGCCATCAGAATTTGTCACGCCACTCGAATTTTCTACCCGAAGCTCATGTGAATACTTTATTGCATTTATTATAGTGCCCTGCTGGGCCTCAAGGACCGTCTGGCGATGACGGTGAACCAGGACCTCCAGGACCGGATGGCGCAACTGGTCCCTCTGGGCCATGTGGGAGACAAGGGCTTGTACGTATTAACTGCTATAACTATAGTAATATCATTATAATTCAAGCACGGGCGAAGAGGAGTATCTGGTGATGATGGACCACAAGGAGAACAAGGGTCACCCGGTTCACCAGGATCACAAGGTCTCAGCGTTCTAAGATGTAAAGGACCAGCACTCAAAGGAGCTCCAGGTTAACTGTTTACCGATATTTGATAAAACAACATTTAACATAAGACAGGGAATATATTTTTATATATTTTTAAATCATTACAACTAAGTTTACAGGTCCTCCAGGGCCTCCTGGATATGACGGTATGCCTGGAGAAGATGGCATTCCAGGGCTGCCTGGCCCAATAGGAGATATAGGAGTAGATGGAAATGATGGAGATGAGGTCTGAACTTTTTTAGTACATATGAAAACAACATATTTTTTCTAGGGAGAAGACGGTTTCGTGGGAAGTCCAGGATTACCGGGGCCACCTGGAGACGACGCCGCATATTGTTCTTGCCCAGATAGAACTCCTAACATGTCATGAGATATCAGTGATGCTAAGACCACGAGAAATTAATAAAATTCTATTGAACACAATACTTCTTAGTACAGACTTTTGTGAAATACGAATAATTACAAATGAAGTGCAATTCCTTCTTTCCCTTGTTGAAACAGCAATAACAAAACTTTCTCTTCTTGCAAATACAAATGTTATTTCATAAGCCTTTTTTTTCAATTCTCCATTTAATCTTGTCTTGAAACTGAAATTAGCAAACTTATAATTTATTTATAACATCGAATGATTGCTCTGTCAAGCTGAACGAATGTTTAACAAAAGAATCTAGAAAGGTTTTCTTTTTTTCGAATGTTGAAAAGAATTTCTCGATCGCCGAATGTTTTTGAAAAAAAAAGAACTGACGATCGAATCTTCTTTAATCGTTTTTGTCTCGATTCCTTTTTTTTGAACTTGAAAACTTGAATGGCTTCTTTCAGCTCATGTCCGAAATCGGCTTTCATACTGTTCTAGAAAATCAGGGATCGTTCTTAAGTTTTATAAATTTTTATTACTATCTTGTTGCTATATTGTCAATCACACTGGCATCATACTCGTTCAAACTTCTCCTGTCCGTGAGAACTCTCAAAACATTAAATAGCTATATAGTGGGGATTTTCTTTACTCAAACTGCAGCTATTATAAGTGTTATTTTTATAAGTTTGTTAGCTCGACCATATTTTTTGTTAGATGAAGAGGTCTGTAACTAATTTTTTTAGATGATCAATAGAGTTCCAGATTGTTGCTATACTCGGTTTGCTTCAAAACAGCTACATTGCTGTGGAGAACTACTTGTATTGCCCTATATTATTTCTATTCTTGTCGTTATTTAGTATTCAGTACTTATCATTCAATCATTATATGATTGTTTGTAAGCCACTCATAATGAAGAGAAGCAAATCCAAGAGACGATTGTTACTGTTTATAACAATAGCGTTAATACTATTAATACTAATTATGAATCTACTTCGCTTTCCTGATCAAAATTATACAACTTACTTTGATGTGAGGCTAAGCGATAGCTTAATTGGCCATGTGTTGAAGTTTCAAAACGTAAATAAGTTCTACACAGCTAAGCTGATCGTATTTGGAGTAATCCAGATTATACTTTTAATTTTTCAAGTGTTTACTATACTTTCAATGAAAAGGTAATCGTTTGTTTCATTGAAGCTAACTTTTTCAATGCAGAGTTGATCATAAAATACAATCAAGCAAACTTTCTCTCTCGAAATCTACTTTCAAAATTTACTTCGGTATCTCGAGATACGTTTCCACGTCATCTCATATCGTTTGCTTCATTTATGGTTATACTTTCATTATTCATATTTTCAACAGATATGTCAATGAAATCAGGTACTCAACAACTCTTTTCAATTATACTTTCTCGTAGATTCTTTCCGACAATTGTGTTCTTTTTACCTAGCCATTTTTATAGTGTAATGATATCCATTGCGTCTATCATTATGCTCTATCCTCATCGAATCAGAACTAATTTTTATAACCAGGAATCGACTTCATCTGACAAAAACCGCGTTTTTCCTGTTTACAACATAGCTTAACTGTTAAATCTGAAAACATCACAGTTTTGTACTGCAAATGGCTTCTGGACAATATCATATTTTACTGGAGAGAAACAATCATATTCTGTGAAGAAAGAAAAAACGCAGCGGAATACAAAAGTTCTGTTATTTCCCATGGATTGTCTCGCTTACTACGCACGTGAAGCTTGTCACTGGTCAAACCAACGAGACATCTAATTATGCTCCAAACTGTAATATTCGTACTATGATATCCTTATTTTCGTTGGCAATAGCTTCACGGCAAGCGCTTACGATTGATCGGGCGGGTTCACCGACTGTAATATTACTTATCAAAATAACAAGATTACTAAATGATTAAACCTCGAAGCTTTGAAGCATTTTCTATTATTTTGTTCAACTTCCGCAAAGATTCAAGTACTCGTTCATTGTTCGATGTTTTCAATAGAAAGGCTTGTCTAGCTTCACGCTCGAAGTTCTTCAATCTTGTGAAATATCGTTTGGTGAGATCCCTGAGAGAAAAAAAAGTTATATCGATACCCTTTTCACAGAACGGTTACCAGTCCTCAAGAACAATAGCGTCTTCTGCTCTTATTATGACCTCTTTCAATACTTTCAAACGATCAGTTAACTCAGCTCCCAAGCGGTCTTTGACGTTATGCATGGTGTCTATCTGTTATAAGTTCAAATTCATGAATTTTTCTTATAAAATAATAACCTCAGACACGATTTCCTCTATCTCTTTGAATTGTCTAGGGAACACGGCTGTCGATTCCAAATTCTCGATACTTACAAAATTGGCTAACGATTGGATTAAATTTGAAGCTGTTTCGAGAGACTCTGAGTGAATAGTCATCTGGAACAACAAAGTCACACAAAAAAAAATTATTGAAACTAACTTTCCCCTCTGTAGATTCATATGTAATCAACAGACATTGTTTCTTGTTTGGAGCTAATTCAATAAACTTCGCATCGACAGTTACAGCTTCGGGATTCAATTTGTCACCGTTTATAATAAAAGATTGTTGCAACCAATCATGAATCTGAATAAAAATATCTATTGAACATATTGACAATTAAACAAACTCGTTGCGTTCGTGTCTTCAAAATGAATTCTACGTGACAATCGGGGGTTTTATAATCAGGATGCTCATCAACTAATGCAAATCTGGCAAACCTTGGTACATGTTGTATACATTCGAACACAAACAGTTTTGGTCTAAGAAGTCAATAAAGCTATACTTCTTCAATTTATACCAACTTATCTGGTCTTCCTAGAAACACACGTAGACTTATATCGTTTTCACTGTCCGTGTGGGGTAGCAATGGGATATAAATTTCGTCACCATTACCGTCAAACTTGGTAGGGATCCTGAATTCCCACAATTAGTTTTAAAGCAAAAACTAATATATACCAAATATAAGAATCACCGTCAAACATTCCTTCAGCAAATGCTACAACTCCAGTTATACAAACCATATTTGTTGTTTTTAGAAAGACTTGCAACATTCTGTTCTCATAATCAACTTAACGAGATCTATGAATTATTTTATGTATTCTTATGAAGACTAACTTGCAAAATTCGAAGATAAGTTAGTATTGGCAGGTATTCTATCCTTCTCTTTCTCTGATTCCGTAATCTGTTCTTCCGCTTCAAAGTTGCTAAGTTCCATCTATAATTGGAAGGTGTTGCCATTTTCATTTTTAGCACGAAAGTTTGAAACATTATGAAGAAAGTGTTGCTTGCGTAAGCAGCTGTAAATCTGAGGCTATCTATCTTTCAACTAACCAAAAGATTGTGTTTTTTCTGACCGAACGAACGTAAGTCTTCTTGGGTTTTGTCCACCTTCTCAGCCTTAGATTCCAAATGATATCCCAGCACTGAAAATAAAGCACGCTCGGTCGAAACTACACGATGCTCAGTACCTTTGCCGTCTACAGATATCACAGTAACCTCCTCATCATTTGCCTCCTTGTTGAAATGAGAAAAAGCTGAAGCAACCTGAATAAAGTGAAGAAGAGTGACTACAGTTGCGAGAAAAAAAAACCTGAACGGCTTTCTCTGGAACTTTGAAATGCAATGTTTCGTTTGTATTAATATATCTGATATCAATCTGAAAAACGACCGGTACTCTCAGTTGACTGAAGGAAAATTTTCACGTGACCACGCAACTCACCTTCCCATTACTCCAAACACATGTAAAAAGATCTTCCTGATTAGGAAAATTCAGTATGGTATTAATAACATATTTAGATTTGATTCGCCAGAGCCGCTGATCCTTTCTGTACATTCCTAACGTACCGTTGGCAAGAGAGTACACAAAACGATTTCTTAATATACTTGCTAATGTTAAAATGAGCATTAGAGAAACTTCGATATGGCTGTCAAATGGGTAACAGCATCAGTTTCCATTATCTCCGACCGCATCAAGTCGTCTTTGAAAATGCGAATTTCATAATCAGGTGATCCAACAATCAACTAAAGGAGTAAGCTATTACTTTATTTTCAACGAGACGAAACCTCCAACTTCCCATCATCATCATAGTCACAGAGACACATTGTTGTAACGGAATCTCCTATAAAACAAGTTCTAGTTATACAAACAACAATACTTCTTTATTAAGTAAATCAAAAAGTAATCAATTGTTTTTTTTTGTTTTCTGTTTATAGCAGGCATCACCTGTTACTGTCCAATACTTGTCAGCACCCGTTTCATCAAAGCCCCATATGGCACAATTGCCTCCACAAATAATCATCGGCTCTCTATCTTCCAGAATACCAACCTAGTTATTTAAAATATATTTGTTGCATTAAGTTTATCTAACTGATATGCAGTTTACTCCATCAGGTATATCCTTCTGAAATATGGTTGTGTTCTTATAAGTGTCGAAAAGAATGAGTTGGGACTCTGTTCCGATCGCCAGGTAGTCGTAGCCTTTTCCAAAAGGAGCACAAGATATGCATTTTATCTTGTCTAATATGTTCAGTGTACTTTCATTGCCTTAAATGTGAGTGTTACGATAAGGTGTGTTGACAGAGCCCAACTCTTAATTATGACTTTGTTAGAAGTTGAAACAGCAATAAGAGTGGGTTCAGTTCCAGGTTCTAGTGTTGCTAACAAAGCGCAATTCGGGACAACACGATGATTAAGAGAAAAATTAAACTTAGGAGTTAATATTAAAGCAGCCTCCGTTCGTGTTGATGAATCTATCAGTTCGTCTTGCTCCATGATTCAGTAGATTTTTGTATTGAGGTGCAAGGGAATAATCCGGCTATATGCGACCGCACGGCCGTTACCATGGCGACGCAACAACAAATATGATTCCCAAGGTTTTGAAAGGTACTTTAATTGTTTTCCTGTTCAACTTCGTGTTTCGAATCAGTAGAAGATCCACTGAAGGGCAAAATTCTTCGCAAAAATGAAAAAAAATATTTCGAAATATTGTTGCAGATAGAGATAAATATTTCCAACGGGGGTACTTTGATTCATCCATGATTTCGTTATTTCCAACTATTAACAAACATATCACTACTATTGCACAATCTTTGCCGCTCTTCATAGTCATACATTTAAACGGTTTGCTATTTGGACTGATCCATGAACCAATGCGAAAATTTTATAACTACAGTAACCTGCACATCTAAAGTTCTTACCCCACGACATATTTTTTTCAAAGCTCTATTACCATATGCTGATGTTTCTCTGAATTTTTGTTATTATTGTTACTCTATTTCATCATACTTGAGTTCGGATGAGATATCACAGTTTATACTTTCATGTTTCAGACAAAATGCCCAGAAAGGACAGTGAAAGCAGCTGCTCTTCTCATGATTCTCACCCAGAAGAGAATGAGACTCTTTCTAATGATATTGTTCTCAATAAGTACCAAAAGGCTGCTGAAATCACCAACGCCGTTCTCAAGGCACATATTCTCATAACTTGATATTAAACGAAAAGAACTGTTTAAGGCTGTTATTGCAGAAGTTAAAGTAGGAGCTGAAGTTGGAGTTCTCTGCGATCTCGGAGACAAATTGATCTTGGAAAAGACTTCTCAGATCTTCAAGAAAGAGAAAAATGTTACTAAGGTAAGTGAGTGATTCTATGAAATTTTGACAATTGTTTTGTGTTATTGATCGGTTTGTCAAACGATTACATCATGCTTTTAGGGAATCGCTATGCCAACCTGTATCTCAGTTGATAACTGCATTTGCCATTTTTCTCCATTGAAATCTGACAAAGTTGTAACTCTCGCAGAAGGTCAAGTAGTAAAGGTTAGTGGAAACATCAAAGTCTGGATGTTATTGTTGATTTCTAGATTGATTTGGGAACCACCATCGATGGATTTGTTGCTACTGCTGCTCATACCGTTGTTGTTGGCGCATCTGCTGTATGTTTTTGAATCATGAACGCTTCTAAATATATTTCTTCAGGGAAAGAAGGTTTCTGGAAAAACTGCTGATCTCATCAAAGCCACTTATGATGCTCTCGAAGTCGCCATTCGCATGCTCCGTCCAGGAAATGTCAACATGGACATCACTGCTGCCATTGATAAGGTTTTTTTTACAACGACTTGAGTTTTTTTCATAAATTATAATGTAGGTAGCTGCCGAATATGGTGTTACCCCTATCGAGAACATGGTTTCTCATCAATTGGAGAAGAACCAAATTGATGGAGAAAAACAGATCATTCAAAACCCCGGTGAGAAACAAAGGACTGAAATGGAGAAGGTAGTTCATTGAATGACCCGTTGTCTTTATGTTTTTGTTCAGCAAACCATCGATAAGTTCGAGGCTTATGCTCTCGATATTCTCTTCTCCACCGGAAAGGGTAAGCCAAAAGATTTGGATACCAGAACTACTGTTTATAAGAGAAATGAGGAAGTTCAATATTCCCTTAAAATGAAGGCATCCAGAGCTTTCTACACCGAGTGCGCAAATAAGGTTGGAATTATGAGTATTTTCTTTGTTCATGTTCTCAATTCAGAATGGAGCTATGCCTTTCACTCTCCGCTCATTCGAAGATGAAACCAAGGCTAAGATGGGAGTTATCGAGTGCGAGAAGCACGGTTTGGTCAGACCTTATCAGGTTGGTGAACAGCAATTCTTCATATTACCACATTTTATTAATAGGTACTGTATGAGAAGGAAGGAGACGTTGTTGCTCAATTCAAGGCTACCATTCTTATCCTCACTAACGGTTTGGTTAAAGTAGCTGGACTTCCATTGGAAGATGTTTACGAGCCAACTGCCAAGATTCAGGTTTCGTTTTTAAAGATACAGTAGATAATGGTCAGTTTTAGGACCCTGCCCTTCTCACCACTTTGAAACAATCCCTCAAGGTATCTAAGAAGAAGAACACAGAAAAGACTGAGGCGACCCCTGCGGCTCCAAAGGCTTAAATTAAAGATCATGTCTCTTGACTTTAAAAGTGTGCCTCTTTTGTTATGTGGTCTCTATCGGGCAGATATAAATTTTTCAACACTAACTTCTGCTTTTATATCATTTCACACTACATCTTGTTGAGTCTTAGTGACAATAGTCACGATTAGTTTTGCATTGTTTCGAGAGTACCGTTATTTCCGGTGCATGAGTGTTACGCGGTTTTCGGGATTTCTTCTTTGATTGTTAATTCTTGTTCTGATCGTCTCGGTTTGAAATGTGTTGATAAAATTTTCTTAATTTTATCCTGTCATTGCATGAATATTGAGTACGTTGTGTTATGGAGACATTGTTGAAATACAATAAAAAATTGCTTGAATAATGAAAATGTGTTGGTATTGGTTTTCGCCGGTACTGATGTGCTGATGCTTTCTTATCATTGATCATTTCTTTTATGATTTATTTGTTCTTGCGGCCTAAAACATGAAGAAAACAATCTGAATATCATGTAACCTGCCAATTTTAGCTCCATTGGCGCAGTTGGTTAGCGCGTGGTACTTATAGTAATAGGATATGCCAAGGTCAGCAGTTCGAGCCTGCTATGGAGCAAAATTTTGCTTTCAATCTGCTCTATCAACAAACCCTGAACAGAACTCTGCAATCTACATGAGAGTGTTCTTGTAAACAATAATTGGAGATGAAAACCAATGAAAATATGGTACCCCTAAAACTTCATGGAATTTTCGTTCAATATCATAGGATTTCATTTGTTCATTTGATCACGTATATCGTTTGGTAGAACTTATTTTTTGGGCTGTTTAAAGATGAAGGTTCAAACTTGTTCTTCAGAGTGTATGGGTACGTGGAGGGTTATTCTTTTATAGTTCATCGATGAATATTACACTTACAAGGAAATGGGTATGCAACAAAGACGAATGTTTCTTAACTATTTCTGTTAAGCGAGGAACATAACGCATTTTCGATGATTTTCGCTCTTTTCCTGTTATTCGTGCTCATAGAACCGAGCATGCATGCTTCGAATCCTCGCGATTTATCCACACTCAACTTTCCGTTTTATGACACAAACCCCGGAGCTTCCATTAGAGAAGTATTAAAAAGTGGTAAGAGACCCTTGGCTACTGTCGCCGGAGAGTACGTTTAACGCATAAACACTGATATTTGTCTTTATTTTTGCAGGCCGATCTATTCCAGAGTTTGGGAAGGTGTTGAGTCTCCAGATGAAGTGATTTTTGATGATGATGGAATCCCAATGAGGGTTTTTTCGAACTACTTGTTTTCTCACTAATCAAACTATTCAGGTTAACAATCTGAGAGGTTCGAGAATAACTCCTGGAAGACCATAGACAGTTCAGCACTGCAACAGCAAGTGATACCTCACAAAATGAAATTTGAGAAAAGAATAAAAAAATAAATCATTCAAAGGATGAGGTGTTTCACTTTTTCTTGCCCTCCAACAAAAGCTCTAGCAATTCATACCTGAAATCACCCTTTCTACACGATTTTTCTCTACGTAGGGATTCGTGTACAAGTGGTTGAGAATGGAACATTTTTTTTACTGTCACCACCGTAAAACAAACTGTTTTTCAGTATAAATATAAATTTGTGAATAGGATGTACATGGAAAAGGAGCTAAGAGGTAGCGAGAGATTTAATAGATTGGTTAGCCGCCCTTGAGCGACTAACGCAGCTTTCAGATTTTAATCGAAAATCTTGAACAATTGATGAAGATCCTTTCTTTCTAATTGTTCGTCCAAAGAACAGCCCAATCCGAAGAGCCATGAAGACTTATAGTAGGTACCAACATCAACAGCAGTTTACTTCTTATAGTGAGTTATTCATTTTTATTCTTGATATCCTTCCAACGCCTGATGTGCTCTCTCCTACAGATCATATAAGGTTTGATGGAACTGAATTTCCTCTGAGGAAGATCAGTAGACCCATTGTTTTGGAGTTGGCAGCTATTATTATTTGTTTGACTACTATTCCTGTTTTTAAAATCATGTTTCCTTCTTGGATAGATATGTATTCCACACCATTCGATAAAGGTTTGCACAATTTGAGAAAAATATAATCAACGCTTTGTAGTTGATGCGAAACTGCCAATGAACAGGACTGTCAATTTTCTAATGGAGCCGTTCGTAGAAACCCCTGTGAATGTAATCGTAATGGTGAACTCTCACCCAAGTGAGTCCCAACTACGGAGAGAAATACGAAAGTCTTGGGGAGATCCAAAGTATTATGACAGAACCTATACTCGACTCATATTCCTTGTTGGAAGACCGGTAAGTTGATTCATTTGATTCCTTCAATCCAGATTGTTTTCCCAAGATTTATTTTTTTACCGTGAAAACTATCTGATGGTATATACTTTCTCCTCTAGATACTAGATAATATCTTGGAACATACGTAAATTCAGTTTCGTTCCATCATGTCACCTGAACGAAGATGTGACTAAAAGAACAGAAACCGAGAAAAATTATTTAATATACATTTTCGAACATGTATCGGATTCAGTTCTCATTTTGAAAGCCTCTAGCAGTTCAGAAGTTCGGAGAGTTCCCTGGTTTTAAAAAAATCTTTGAAAACTTGAAATAAAATACCGCTTCGTCAGGGGGGACATCCATAAGATATTAATCGTCTATATTCTTTGTTAGGTGTGTGAGCCTGTGGTCAGGTTTCTTTGGTGAATCAGATAAATGGATTTCATACACAATGATCAGAGTGTTCAACAAGCTTTATGAGCTCTTCAAAAGATTTCTTGTTCAGGAAAATTAAAAGATTTTAATTAGAATCCTTTCAGGTATCGCAGAATGAGTTAGAACAAGTTGTTGAGGAACATCGAGACTTCAATGACATCTTGGTGGCTGATATAAAAGAAGACTATTATCTGCTATCAATCAAAACTTATGCTATGCTTTACTACAAAATGACGAAACTCCCGCAAACTCGATGCCTAGTGAAAGCAGATAGTGACAACGTTTTGAACCTTCATAACTATGAGAAGTTATGCGAAGAAACAAGTAATACAAACATCACAAAATATGCATTCACGAATTCATCTTAGTTGCCCCTCGAATCGTTGGAAGCTGTGACGTGGATACAACAGTGTTGAGAACAAAATCGAAGTGGGCAATACCAGTTGACATTTATCCTTTGCCACAATGGCCAACTTATTGTTCTAGTGGAACCTATGTTTTTTGTGGTAAGTTCTAATTGAGTTTCTCATTAATGAAAATCATTTTCTTGATGCGTTATAGGAGAAGATGTTCCAGAACGAATACTTCAATCGTCCGAAGATACGCAGTTCTTCTCTTCGACAAACTTCCGGTAACCTTTCGTTTTCGAGGACAAGTGTCTCACTTTCTTCTCACTTTTTCAGTCGTTTACCGGAAGATGTCTTGTTTACGGGTATTTTTGCTGAAAAGGCTGGTATATCCAGAAAGCACGTTGGCACAATGACTTTCCGAGACAAGCCAGCCTTTTCATGCCGTACGAGACAGTATACATACAGCATTCACATGCATCGTCGGAAGAATCCCATATCTTATCATTTAAGAATGCTATCACAAGAAGGTATTCTCTGTTGAAATTAGAGAAAGAAAAGAAGAAAATGATTTCTGTCATAGAAATATTACATTTTCATCTAAAAAACATTTAATTAAGAATGATGCTGTAACCTATACATCCAATATGATCTCTCTCTCTTTGTCCCTCTCTCTCTCCTTATCATTCAAATACATAAAAAAGCGGGTAAAACAAATAAATTTTTCTGTGTTTTAATAGACTTTAAGTGTTTGTATCCAATAAATCATCTTGAACTTTCGGAACTTATTCATTGTTACAATTTGATGATTTTTCTCTCAAAGAAAAAAAGTTTATTGAAAATATTGAAAGCTTAGCACAACTCTCTTATCTCATGTGATGGAAGTGAGGAATCCAAGGAATTTCTTATGACGTTTTCATAAACCTCTGGATGTAAATCCCAACTGACCAATTCACAAACAGATAAGAGAATTAACTGGGATGGTTGTGCTTTGTTTTGGGTAATAGTTCGCGTAGCCTCTTATCAGTTACGTCACTAAATATTCGCCAATCTTTGGTTTCATCTTATTTTTTCTTCTGACTGATCATCACCGTCATGACGATGTAGGTTCCTAAACAAGAAATTTACCGAAATTGAGAGATATACTCATATAGCATGTGACCATTAGACGAATTGGACTTCGCCATTTCTTTTTTTAATGATCAAACATTTTATGTGGTTGATGCTATATAAGGAGAGATTCGTCCAGAAGTCAAGCAACAATAACCAAAATGAAGTACATAATCATTCTCGCTCTCATCGGTGTCGCCGCTGCCCAATTCGGAGGTTTGCCTTTTTCGGATATCAATGCTCTAAACTGATTTTCTACAGCTGGATTAGGAGTCAGGCCCGGCCTTTACGGATCTAGCGTCAATGCTCAAACTCAATTCGGAGGACGCGGTAAGTCCTTTTGATATATAAATTGAACTAATCCTAATGAACTTTCTCGAAAAAAAAATGGAGAGATCATTTTCATATTCTTTTTTCTTTTTCTAGTTCAAGATCTCTGTTTTTAGGGGGATACCCACCACAGTACGGAGGCCAATTCCGAGGAAACGGTCAGTACGGAGGACAACAGTACGGAGGACAACAATACGGAGGACAATACGGAGGACAACAATACGGAGGAGGACAATACGGTGGACGCGGAGGACAATACGGTAACTATCGATATCGAGACTTTTTTGAACCTGTTGGGTTACAGGAGCCAACGCTGGATTAGGAGTCCACGGTAACGGAGGAGGATTTGTCGGACGTGAGTTCGAAAATATGTTATAATTGTAAAAGTTGTCTACTGTAGGTACTCTTGGAGGAGTTCTCGGATAAACAGACAAAACGTGTTCTTTCATCAAGCCTTAAAAGAAAGTGATCTTTTTCAACAGTAATCACGTCGTAGTAATATTTTATATAAAGTTTTAATAATGTACTTTATGGTGTTGTTGATGAAAGCAAACATCGACTCTCAGGTTGAGAGCGAGAATCAATGTTCCACAACATACTAAAAGGACTCTTTTACGAAATCATTATGAGATCTTTGATAATTGGGTAACGATTTGTCTCCCAACTTCTTAAAAAGTTTCAAATAACTGATATTCTGTCACAATTGAACGATATGAACCATAGAAACTGTGAGATGACGTTTGTTTTCTCGAATTTCTTTTGAAGCAAATTGAAAACAACCGTTCGATGAAAGATAAAAACAAAAAATGATTTTGGTAGTGGCATTGGCGCGCATTCAACTAATCAATCGCATAGAGATCATTCAAAGTTCTGTTAGTTTCCGGAAGAAGAATAAAGAAGAAAACAAAAAGTGAATTGACAAAACAATTTTTGAGAAAACAAGTAAAAGGAATGCTAATGAGCTTTCATGAATCAAAAAAAGTGTTATTATAAATGTTTTTCTTCACTCAAGGGCACTCAGTTTTTTCTTCCAGCAGTTAATCTGATAGCCGCTATTGATGTTTACGTGATGGGGTGTGGCCAGTCATATTCACACCACGTCACCATGGAATTTCGCTACATATGCTCCTCCCACGTTCTGTGGAATCTCGAGATTCTACTCAATCCTAACAATGGTAAAAAAGATGTTCGAGAGGTGGATATTGTCAGTTTTGCTCGGTGACAACCGGTATTAATCACGAATGTTTTGTGTCTGTGATATAATGGCTGACGAGCAGCTGACGCATTCTCTGCATTCCAAAGGCGATCATCAGCTTGGAGCTTTGCAAGGGGCGGATCCTGGAGGTCAACCACACACATAAACTCATACACAGATTTATTCACGCATATTCCGAGAATTGTCTGAACCTATTATCGTTCTTCCTCAACTTTTTAATTTTAATCCATATTATGAGAACTACAATAACATCCTCAATGCATGTGCCCACATATTCTTATCTTACAAGCTTCTTATTCATGAAACATTCTCGAACTTTTGCTTATTTGTCTGTTTTCTTAAAAGCTTCGAAAAATTTTGATATTTTAAGCTGGTTTTATAGTTGTCACTTATAACATAATAATCTTCCCGACTTGTCATGTGACAACTATTCTGCAATGTGTCGGTCATTTTAAGTCTTTTATTCTCCTTGTATTTCCTCCAGTCATATTTTGAACAAATTGTAAGTTAAATGAGCGCTTCTCGATAAATCACATTGCCTCTCACATCATGGATGTGCTACAGAACAGATTTTTCGTTGGATCTGTTGCGATCTGAGAAACATTGTACGAACGTGTTGCAAATATCGTTTTGTTATCTTTTCTCTGAAGAGAAAAAAAAAGATTTCTTGCTTTAGCGCATTTATACAAAGCTTTTTTGTTCTTTTCTACAACGATATCGTTTGTCCTCACAATGACTCGAAAAAAAAAAGATTTCGAGCGTGGGAACAGAAATTCGTCAACTATTCTGTGAATCATCACGTTTTTGCCCTAACTTAGATGTCATTTATCTTGCAAAGTGGGACGAATTCAAACTTTATTTCAAAACACAACCTCTTTTGCAACTAAATCTCAAACTGAGTTCTCTGTTTTTTCATTTTTTTCTCAAACTTGAAGTTGATAGTTCAACTGTTATCACTAATAGAGAGTAAGAGAATCAGTGATAGAGAGAGAGGGAGGTTCTTAACTTATAAAGTAAAGATAATGAGTTGAAAATTGAGCTATTTGTCGTTTTTAGAAGTTTTGAATAGCAATTTGATCGAAAATAGATGAGATATAACGTCATTGTTTGAAATCCTATGTTAAAGACAAAAGAGAAGATCCGACACAATTCCCTCGGCTCCATCATTTGTTTTGGTTTAGAAGAAATTGGTTAGACGTTGACTGATATTATACTTAATCATCGAGCAATTTTTCAAATGAGAAAATGATTATTTTGTTGCATTTCGTTTTAATGGTCAATGAATCTTCTCCATATAAGAATGAAATCGAAAATAGTGAACGATAAGCTTTATCTTAATGACAACATTAACACATTTGAAGTAATTGGTCACATTTAGTTGGATTATTTCGTTTTTATAGCTTCAGGTTAAAACTTATTCTTTTCTTCTAAACTCTTAGATCTAACAAACTCACAAACTCCCCTCAGGGAACATCCTGAAGTCGACATTGATTCATATCCTTCAAAGCAAATGCACAGCTGTCCTTCTTTGACTATTTTTGGATTTCAGACTGATAAACTTTGCTTTTTGTTGTTTACAATATTTTAATTCATTTCTTAACTCTTATATGTTTGCAGAAAACTCAAAAAATGAAATTTTTACTTCTTTTACTGTTTTGCCTTCAACACTACCTTTCCTATGCATATACCTTGTCTAACTGGAAAGATATTCATGAAGATGTAGAAGTTCCGACTGATGTTTCACCTGATGAGCAACAAAGGTTAGCAGAATATTTGATTTTTCTTACATTTTTGCCTTTTGTTTCAGATTTCACATTCGCCGTTCCAATCGGTCGTCTGAAGTCTTTCTACACATAACCCCATGTGGAGGAACGGTGCATTGGAGACTATATAGCTTGAAATGCGGTTAGTTTTTTTTTGTTTTTACTTCAGCTTCTAAAATTAGTTGGAAATCTGATGCTTATGAGCATTCCTACAAATATATTTAAAAAAAAAGCTTCATGTTTCGTAAAGTATGCTTTGTGCTCATTGAAAGTTCTGTACATGTTCGTCAGCTAGTAATTCTATCTGAAAGATGACGTTCATCATCACATCATTCGCCTCTTCGAAAAAAAAAAGTTCAAAAAATACATTTGTGAATTGAGGTGTTGTCGTCGGAATGTCTGATAATATCGTATTTTCACATGACGATATAAAATATCTTAATCAAAGAATGTTGTTTGGAATCTTATCAGTTCGTTAACAGTCTCCCATGGTTTTCTTATAATTTTATTATTCATTAAAGTGCTGACAAAATTGAGGAAAAAGATATTTCGTGTGTTCCTAATCAACACACAGTCATAAATAATTGCGTTTCTTGCAGATTTTGCTGAAATCGAACATTTATATGCTTTCACTGATTCACCTGATGTCCAATTGGTTGCTGGAGAAGCAGATGATCAACGAATGAAATTTTATTCAAAAAATTTACCATACGGTATGTGTATACACAACTCTATTTCAAATAACAATTATCACATTAATTTTCTGAGTTTAAAAAATTTTTTTTTAAAGACTCTCCGTTTGTCATTTCTCTTATGTGAACAGGAAAAGTTAGAAATATGTGAAACATGTGCTATCTATCGACCAAAAAAAAGCCTGAATTTTACCACAACTCTTATGAAATGTTTGAGATAGTTAAGCTTAAGTATTTATGCGAACGTTCAAAAAGTTTACGTGAAAAGTACGTGAAACATATGTGAGAAGTTCCCAATCCACTATGAATCACTTTTAAAGTACAAAACTAGAAGAGCGGTTGTGTCATAGAGATTCTTGATTTCCATTATCTAAATAATGATTATTTCAGATGATCTCTTACTTGTCGTGACAGCACCAGCATTGGTTTCAGTTAACATCTTTGTGTCAACATCTATGGATAAAATAAATGACTTTTATCCACCTTTACCACATGATACCCGAGTAGTTTATGCTATAGAACAAGAGAATGATGCTGAGAAAAAACAAGCTTTGATCAACTGGAAGATTTCTGATAGTATTAGGTAATACGAAAGGAAAATAATGCTTATGTTATATAATAATCTGCAGATATGCAAGTGATCCTAGCCGGTATAGAATTTGTGCAGTTGTTTCAAAGCGCCATCCAGATTGGGCTGCTTGCGACCTCTTGGATGAAGGCTTAGAGTCTATCCATTGCGTACCAAATAATAATAATTCAATGATTATCGACAATTTGAGGTAACGTTTGAACACTCATTATTCTCATTAATGATGGAAAATATTGAAGAGCTGGACGTCGTTATTATATTCTCCTGTTTGTTCGTGATATGTTGCGAGGAACAACGTCTTCTTACGAAGCTCTGGAGATTAATTTTAGAAAGTCTCGCGACACTCCAGTCAAACATCCCAAAAAAGATGAAGTATGTTCTCAGATTTTCTGTTTCCCATAAATGTCCCTGATTTTTTTTGCTTTTTGAGTTCACTTTGACAAACTTATTTTGTCTTTAGTAACTTCATTTTTCTAGGTTCGACTTCTCATGGACTCTACCCTTCAAACAGCCATCTTACCGCCAAAGAAAGATTCCAGCTTAAACTTCTTCTATGCAGTTCCGTATGAAACTCCACGTATTCAAAGGGTATGATTTCCTATCATTCAAAGCCACACGATTATCCAAACCAAAAAAAAGAAAAACGTTGTTATGTCTTTCGAAATGTCATTTACTGGCAGTCTTTTCGGACATCAGCTCGAGACATGCTGCATTCTCCTGTGGACTCGTAAAAAAATGACAACTTCCCGGTCTTCAGACATAATATGAAATGAAAAAAAAAAAGAAAAGTTGAAGCATTTCCCAAGCAATTCACGACCTCAGTTCGCACCATGAACAACTGTTTTTCTCAGTTCCGTTTCAAATTAAAAAAAAAAGTTATTTTGGGAAAATGAAAGAAAAATTTTTGTCAGAGTCTATCACCTCATCATAATTTTTGGCAGAATGAGATGAAAGGGGGGTTTTCTTAATGGGCTACGGATGTGTAAAGGGGGAAGTAGTGTTAACCATCATATTCATCTCATAACTTGACTGTAAAACTCATTAAACGTTCCCATTAACTGCCTCATAATATTTCAAATTGATGGAGAATCCCACTCACTCCCACCCACACTACCTATTTACAGCTATTTATTATAATAATTAAGTTGAGAAAAAAGAAAGAATATAAAACAATTTGTTGGGGTTGTAGCTAGAGATAGGATAAGCGAGGACAGAAATAGCTCTGTTTGACGTCAATGAACCGCATTCCTTGACTAGCAGCTGACAACACACAGACATTAAAGACTAGTATTCAACTTCTAAACCTTTTATTACATAGAACATACAATTACAATTAGCGGATATATTTCATGATAACTATTACAGGTACTTCTCATTGCTCATGCATGCAATGGACCCGTGCGTATCACCATCTTCCGTAATGGTAGAATGCTCAAGAAGACTGAACCATTCAGTGGATACAGAAGGTATTACCCAAATGAAATTTCTTTAATCATCATCATAATTCTCAGATTTTTGGTTATGAATCTCCGAATTGCTGGCCAATTAAGATTTGAAGTATCTAATGATGATTCTGAACCTAAATCTGTCCGTTTATGGGCAAGCACCAGAGCAGATAAATCTCCATATCCCAACTTACCAGATGACACCAGGTAAGAAAGCTCTTGAACTTTTATCATTATCTCCCCTGAAATCTTCGATCTGATAAGAAATTCAAGTCAACTTTCTGAGAAATCAAACACTTTTCTGATAAATTGAAGATGAACTGAACAACTTTATCTCTCTTTCAGTATCAAAATTGTTCGTCGAACCTGTCGATCAGCAACTCTTCAGTGGCTCCGTGCTGCAGATAAGAAAGCTGAATATTGTATTTATCGTCGGAAAGAAAATGCTCATTATTTGGAGCATCTGGTGAGCAGAGTAAGTGTCCACATTGAGAGATCGTATTTTAATGTACCTGTTAAGGTTGATAATCTATGTGAAGGTGGTTTAACATCCGAGCTTGTTGGTTGCTATCATCATAAGGGACCGAAATCAAAAGACATTAAGGTATTTCATTTCTATCAGCTTCATCTAACATATATTCAAATTTAGGACATATTAGGAGTTATTGAAACGACAATTACTGGCCTCGAACCTCAATCAACGTATAGATTTGACCTTCTGGCAACTCCACTACGTAGACGTGGAGGACAATCTTTACCGTATCGCACCGTTTGGGTTAGAACTTCAGAATGCTAATTCAGAAGGCTTTTGTACATTTTAATTTGAAAAATACGGGATGTATAGAAAAGTAGTGTTGAGTTGAAGAGTATGAGCATTTCATCTTGAAATGAAAGTTCTCTTCTCAAACATACGTTCTGATGATTTCTATTCAAATCTCTTTTTCGTGTTGAAAAATGTTTGTTGCTGATCTCTAACTTATTATTTCAGTCTTTCATTCCTATTTTATGCAAATTTATCATTTTGAATATAAGTTTGTCACAGTTTAATAATGCGGGTTCTCTTAGAATTATTTTGTAAATAAAAATATTAAATTTTATTAAATAATGATTTCAATCATCTTCATATATACAGCAAAGGGATTTTTACATTACAAGTATGAGATTCACTTGGATACAAGATTGATGTTTTTAACATAACAAGAAAGAGAAAGGGAAAGAGAGAGAGAGGGAGAAAAGGGGGATGAGAAAGAAAAATAGAAAGAGAGAGAGAGAGAGAAAGAGAGAGAGAGATAGAGAGACTTGTACCCTTAAGCAATCAACTGTTTCTCGTACCACAAAAGAACATTCACTATCACATGAACATCACAAGGAAAACTAGAATGTTGAACAAAAACGGTTTAGAAATGATATGAAATAAGCTCCTCGTAATTGTTGTTTTAGACATAATGGTAATACTGTTCGGGATGGCTTCATTGAATACTATATAAAAGAAAAATAACTTAAATAGGTCTCCATGGCATTATGGGAATTGGCGTGGGTAATGAGGCTGATGGAAGAAACGTTGGTGCAGTTGATGCCATTTTCATGTTATGCTGATGTAAAAACATCAATTGTTGTGCCATGAAACCGAGATTGGAATTCAGAACAGTTGGAGTACTGACTGGAAGTAAAGGTGATGGTTGAGCGATGTGTGGAAGAATTGTTGGATTTGTATTTGGAGGCTTGTTCAGCTGAGGCGAGACAATGAACGCCGTCGGAGAGCTAATCCTCGAACTTGTTGTAGAAGTTGGAGGTATTGTGGAGCATGTTGTTGTTGAACAAGTAGATAAACGCGCTCTTTTACTTGGTGTATGTCCGCGTTCACTAACAGATTCTGTGCTTGATGTTGAAGGAGCAGGAGAACTTTGACGCGTCATTTTTGTTTCGAGAACGCTGTCTTCTGCATCATCGACGACAATAGGTTGTATTGTTGGAACATCTGCGAGACCTGCAAAAACATAAAAATGAGATTTGAAGAAGAAGAAAAAAGAAAGAAGAAGAAATAAGGAAAAAAAACAACCAGTGCGCGCCCCGTTAAAATGAAAAATGAATCTTGACGTCATTTTGACGTCGACATTATTCTAATCGTTGGATACAGACAAATAATCTTCAATTATTTTATCACTTGAAAAGTGATTGAGTTCTAACTTTGAGAGAATCATCTTTGCTCGTTTTTTTCTAAACCGAATCTTCCAGACGAATAGACAATCAAATACGAATCCCCTCGTCCCCGAGTTTTCTATTTATTTCTCTCTTTCTCTAAGTTAAAAAAATATTTTATGTAACTCAGCCAAAGCCGTCAATACTTTCTCACTTTCTGAATAGACGTTTAACCAATAGAAATCGAAAACTCATAAGATAAACAGTCAGAGAGTGAACGCAAGACTAAATACAGACTGTGGAAGACTTTGCTCTGTTTTTACCTTTTTGATTTTTGGCAGAAAAAAGTTAGAAGAGCTCTAAAAAGAACTGGTTTTTCTTGAACGGCAAATCATAAAAGAAATAGAGAGTTCATTCAAAGATCATTTCAATTCTCAGTAGTATTTCAATGAGATTGATTAACTCATTAATTTTCAGAGAAGTTAGCGGTGCCAGGCAACGTTTTTACGTTTTTTCAAATGAAATTGGTATTTTCCCATATATGTTTGAAGATCGAAATGGAACTTTACCTCGAGCAGCTCGGAGCTTTTTTACATACTCAACTGTCATCTCCAGAATATCGGCTTTCTCCCACTTGGCATGTCCGGTAGCGTGAAGCTGAAAAGATGAACTAGACTTTGAAAAAAAAAGTACAACGAAGGTCCAAATTTGGAATAATTATCTATTTCATGACCTTTATTTGCCGTACAAACGGATTTTCTAGCCATGAACACATGATCGAAATTTCAGTAAAAGATATGACGGTGCAAAAGATGAAATCGAAGAGAGAATACGAGAGAGAGAGAAAAGCGATTTTATCTCTCAAATCAGGCATGATGTTCATTTCTATTTATGAATATTCCGGTGACTTCAATGGAAAAGCTCACAGTTCAACCCAAGAATCATTGATAGTTTATAAAGCCGTCCGACCGACCGAACTTCATAATGAGCAAAGAGAAGAAAGAGAGAATTGAATTATTGTCAAAACAGAGAAAATTGCTTAAGAAAACGACAGGTTAAAGATTAACTTACATTATGTTTATCCATAATTAACATTTCTTTTAATTCCGAAAGACAATGGTTTATCCTTGCACGACGTTTCTTTTCCATTAACGGCTTGTTCGTCTTAAAGTCATTATTACAGATGATTATATCAAATAACTGCTTTGATTACCTTCTTTGATGTCATACGACCATCATTAGAAGTCATTTCATTATCCGAAAACATTTCTGTAATCATTCAATGTGAGTATCTCAACATTTCGGACGCAACGCAGTAAAAGAGGAAAGGTTCTGAGAAGCAATCAACGAACTGGCTAATTGAACGACGATGGAAAGAGGCAAAAAACATTCAAAACTTTAAAATAGTCTAAGATGGGTAACAATCACAATTTAAAGCTAAAATAACAACAGTAGAGTTATAGGTCGAGTATCTCTTGTATCGCCCTGTCCAGGCAACTTGTTGGGTTTGGTAGCGAGGATGGAAGGGGCAGGGCATAAACGAAGGGTGAAGATTGGAAAGTGGGAAGGGTAGAGGAAGAAAACGAATGAATAGAATGGAGGAAAGGAGATAAAGAGAAAGAGAGATTGAAAAAAAGAACAGAAAATGAAGGGACAAGAAAAGTATCGGAGTAATGTCAGAGCAGTTGAACGCCGTCTAAGAGCCCTCATATCTTTTAGTTGTCTCCATCTTTCTATGGTAAATATTGGTTGAACTGTGCCATTGGACGGTTGCTGAGCCTACGTCCGATGATTTCAGTTAGATGAGGTTACCGACTGATGATGTGTCCTGGCGAAAGAAGAGAAAAGCCAGTAGAAAAAAAGGAGAAAAGAGAAAGAGACATGAGTGAAAAAAACGAGGAGCTGTTGAGGTCACACGCCAAGCAAACGATGGAAATGCTTCTGCAAATAGTCAGATGTTGGCACTATGTGAGTGCTGTGTCGCTTCCAACTTCATTCAAGTTGCCCTATGTGTCTTTGCTTCGTCATAACCACTCCCTTCTACTCTTAAAGTTAATCTCTCTCCTTTTCACCTCCTATTTTTTCTTTTCTCTTTCTGTTCTCCCTCTCATTCCATCTTTCAATATTTCTCTTCTTTTCTCTCTTATCGTTACTCTCTTAATCCCTTTCCCTAACGTCATTAGCAAAACAGAAGAAATGCAACGGTGTCATCAGCGGATCACCTTGTCAGGCGTACTTCTCATAACGCTCGACATCATCTTGGTCGTTTCATCAACAGCATAAACGGCGTTAATCACTTCTATCAAATTGTACTATCCGTCAATGATCAGAGACAAAATGATTCTCGTGATATCGCTCATTATCAAACACCCTTCTCTATGGCCTTTCTGTCTCATAACTCGACATCTGTCTGGCTGTTTGAAATGTTAAGAGCTTGGTCAGAAGGTCATTAATAAAGAGATAGGTGTGATCATTACCATCATATTACTTTCTATCTCATGTTCTACCACTTCAGTTTTTCAGTGAAATATCAAAGAAAACAGAAGATAGTCAAGTAAATACATAAGGAACCCAACCATTCGGACGGGCTTCGTCGATTTAGCCCACCGAAGCGTGAAATCGACGTCCAGTTTTTCTTTCAGGCCCAAAAGAATTTAGATGCTACAGATAGGAGAGGACAATTTTTTTTGAGCATTTGACAAGAAAAACAGGAATTTTTTTGAACTTTGCCAAGCCGACGTGCAAGCAGGCAGTTCACTTAGGCGAGAGAGAATGAAGTAACTTGTCAGAAGCTTAGAATTGATATGAGTTGACATCTCAGAATATGAGAGGTTAGCGACTGTATCTAATAAAGGAGAGAAACAAGCTGAGCGAAAGGAAGTTCATGATGAGATGGGGTGAGATCAAAATATCTGAAGTTAAAAGTTCAAAAATAGTTGTAATCGAATTAAAGCGCTGAGGTCATTCAGAGAACAGTTTCGTACCGTCGTATATTGAATGAATCAACTCGGACACGGAACGGAAGCTGGAGGGTGTGAATGATCCTGTTCTCGCAAATTATTATTGTAATTGAAAAAAAGAAAAAAGGAAGAAGAAGAAGAAGAAAGCAGTAGTATCCATGACAAGTTGCCAACGACAATTATGTTTGTTTAAGCTAGAGGTATTCATAAACTGAATAAAAGTAACGGAAATGTAGAGAAAGGATCAAACAATATGTTGGTATTGTTATAGTAGAGAGCATGTACGTATAGACATAGTTTTCTATCAAATGAAACAAATACATCACAAAGATATTGCTTTTAATGACAAAAGCTCCACGAGTCTCTTTTGTTCTCGAAAAACTTCCACAGTAATTTGAATAAAGACACTTGAAAGTGCAATGATACACATTTCATGAGCATGAAAATTTGAAAAATTTCAAAGTTATTGATGAGGTCGGTCAAACTGGAAGATCGACATCGCCGTTGACGACGATAACAGACAGACCCCACGAGAAGACAATGGGCGGAGTTAATGAGATTACTGTAATGAGAACAGGTCTTCTCTGGACGCAGGACCGTGGCCGTTGGGTGCGGCACGCGTATGGAACGCGTATAACACGCGACGTCGTCATAGTCGTCAACGACAGCATCCGAAAATTCTGATGAAGACGGTGTTGGAATAACCCACCGTAATCCTTAATGAAAGCATCCTTGGATGCGTCTTAAGACGATAATAACATGAAAGAAAAAGCAACGGGGTTAAGCCATGGCATATTAACTGTAACACACTCGAAAGACTTTTGTAGCAGCGGTTACCCCGACAAGCAAAGTCTTCAAAACCAAAAGGTCATATAAAGAAAGCAGTTTTTATTTGCTGCTTAATCCATATTAATTGGTTAAACTACACATAAGCCAAAAGATATGGAGACGGTGATTTGAAAGAGAACAGGCAAGTTGGACAGAAGGATTTACGGAAGTCCAAATATACAGATTGTCACACGTGAACACATTTCGTGTGTGTGTGTATGTGCAAATAAATGTGACTAAGTGCTGCCAATAGCATTAGTTTGTACTCAAAGTAAGTAAATATTGAGAATGCTTTTTGCTCTTCACACGCATATGTGAAGTAAACCGGCCAAACGACAGAATTCTACTTTAACAACATGAACGGCGCCGCAAAGATCATCGACGCCCTACCACGTGGAAGTCAAAGGAAGCACACGTACATCTTCACGTGAGCTCATTTAAATTTTGTTATTTCGAACATAGACAGAGCGTTGAGCGGTTGGTTTTTCTTGCACGAACATTCTTATCACAATGACCCTTCGCATTTTTTCTCTTTTGAGATGTTAATGCCTACACATAAAGTGGGAGAGAAAACTCCTTCAGAAGTATCCACTTCATTATAATGTATGAAACGGAAATTAACATAACTGTACGGTTACTGTAGAACAACTATTGGTGAGAAATTTGTATAAAAACGTTTTTAGTTAGCATGAAATGAAAATATTTTGATAAAGAAGAAGAAGAGAGACGGAGAAGAAACTGGGAAAGAGAAGAAAAGAGAAAAGAAAACATTATATGGTCACTTATCCAGATATAAGCTTTTCATTAAAGAAACAGAAGCATTCCTGCATAAACTAGTAATTATATACAGTAATAATAAATGTAGTAGGTAATCATTACCATCAGCAGCATCGGGTCCAAAACGTTTTGGTCCAATCGACCTGTCAATTCGGATTATCGTTGACTTCCTTTGGCTTAGTTCCGATAGCCGCCACGAGATAAAGGTTTGAGGAGACAACTTCTTGGCAAAAGTTTGGGAAACCGAAACTTTCATAGTCGAACAAGGTCATTATTTTATATTCAAATGAGTATAAGTCTTCAATACTGAAGCAGCTTGAAGTGACAAAAGACGAAAAACAAAGTGGAACAGAAACAAAAAAAAATTTTTTTATAGATTTTTGTGAAATAAGAAGAGCAATGTTTGAATGAAATTGATTAACCGGCTTTATATGATGGAAAGGATTGATAAAAAGTATGGGAAATAAACTGCTTTTCTTCACTTGTTTCAGCTTGGAACGGACGAAGCTTCTCCTTGAACTTCCCTTTTTGGTGAACACAAAAGCAAGTGAACTTACTCAGAGATCAATAATTCGTAATAAATGTATTTAAAACACAATTTTTATGAATGAACCTAGTTGGGTAAAGGGGGGGGGGGGAGTTGGTTGGTGGCTAGAAGATAGATTGGGACGGTCGTCGCCCTCCAGTCCAAGTATACACGGTGGTAGAAGTGATCCATCAATGTGGTGTAGGGACGTTTTAGAAGAAGAAGAAGAAGAAGAAAACTATGAATCGTCGTCATCGTCATCAACGACAAGTGGCCATATTCATCATTATCAGTAGAATGTAGTCGACGTCATCTTCCTCGTTGTCATTTACTTCATTATTTTCTCTCAAATTCTGCAGAACCATGAAATAAAAAAGCCGGCAGCTAGTGCATGCAAGACTGCCAGTCATCATACTTTTCATCATTTTTATCATTCGTTGTCATTTTCTGTTTTCATTCTTGTTTTCACATCTTCATCCATCTTTACTCCTGCTTTTGTCTTCGAACTGATGCTCATTGTTAACAAAAACTTTCGCAATTATCTCGTTTTTTTCCAATTCCGTCTTATCTCTCATGCCGTGTACTGTACTAAAGCAGATGAAGTAAGTACAACAAAGAATCAAAAAGCTATTTCCACACATATTTTCAGTCATTTCAATTATAAAAGTAATGTTATCTTAAACATAATATATTGCTAATCATTAAATTTTTAGCGCAAATCCATTAACATGTACTTCGTTCATATAATGAATGTCATAAATCGTTGAAGGTAACGATGACTACGAATCTTTTGACAGAAGATAGTGTCAGACTGTTTGTTGTCGTTAAAATAAACAGAATCTCCCAATATTACCGTGTCCATATTTTGTCTTTCGTCGTCAATTTGTTCATGGAACAGATTGATGCAAACGATAATAATCGTCCTTCTTCATTTCATCCAAAAAAACGCCAATCACCCACGCACTATTTCTGGGTATTGACGATTATAATCGAAATTTATGAAAAACAAAGTTTTATATATATTTTCATATATATATATTTCATATAGTGTTGAAGCTTTCATGAAACAGGGAAACAATCTTCTGAAAATAGAAAAATCTCAATCAACCGTTACACATCTTGTGCCTCTACACAACTTCTATCTGGGCAACTATTGTACTGACATCATCAAATATAGAATTTGGGAGAAAGTAGAAACAAAATGAAATGATTGCAAATCGTGTTGTAGATCGAGAAAAATAATAAATCTTATGCAAAAAAAAAGGAAAACGAGAGATTTTAGTGATGACATCGATAGTCTGTCCTTCTAATTCTCATCGTTGCAGACGTTTTTGGACAGATCGTCCGACTATAATTCAATCAGATTACAGGTAACTGTCAATTTGAACGGATTACCTTTAATCTATCGTTTTATAATTCTGTTCAAATATTTAAAAGAGATAAATGACTAGAAGGTACAAGGCAATTAATGACGAAAGCTTAAAACCATTTTCTCATGCACTTAGGCAGATGCAATTAATTAGGAAATGTGAATACATCTTTCAAACTGTTGGTTTATTGAAAGCAGAGACAAGAAGAATCATTACGGGAATGTGGATCCAATCAGAAACTTCAGTTGTCGGTCCATCTTTTCATCTTCATTTGCTCTTTTCGTTCATAATCAGTAGAACTTTGTCCTGTTACTATACTATAGCATATAGAGTCTGTTGAAAGAAGAGGCATATGTTCAAAAAGTATTTCGATCAGTCATTCTCCGTCTTTGTCACCTCTTTGAACCATATGTGGGAATGCGAAATCTTTTGCACTTTTCATCAGAAATTCGAACGTCAAAATCGCTTTTCATCGTTATACTGTTATCGAAGCCGACAAAACAGCGACGATGAAGATCATGATGCGTCCAAAGAGGGCAGTCAGCGATGCTATGAATGACGATTTCTCCTCAACCTGCATAGCTCTCAATCAAATTTGAATTAAAAAAACAAGAAAGAAATCAAGAAATCTCTCCGTCAAAAGGATATTGTAAAACGAATTACGGTAGAAATTGATCATCTTTCTCATCGTACAAAGGCCTAATCAGTTAATGTCAATCTATGTCTCTTTAAGGTAATCAGTCAAGCTTTCGTTAGATTCGACATTTCTAGCGGGTGGTCTCTTTTCTAAATCGCCCAGAAACAACATCGTTTCGTCCTTTATAGGCGATAACTGTCATGTTTTAAAAAGGATGGTATGTCTCTCACAGATGTCTGGTTAAGGAGGGAGATTCAGAAATTATTTTTTAAACGACTTCAGTCCAATTATTAAACCATTCTGAGCAGGGACCACTTGAACGGCTGTTGTCTTTGGGGAGCGGAAAAAACCAGGAAAGGAGGTTCCTGAATGAGTTTTATTGATTTCTGTCGCTCATGCTAATTCCGATTTAGCTCCCACGTGAATAACACATTGTAACGTGAAGATACGCTTTTACCGGTTGCTCACCTCCATCAGATCCTCATCTTCTTTTTTTGTTTCTTTTATTTCTCATTTTATACAATTTGCTTATGATGAAAAAGGTTTTAATTATTTTAGTCGATGTCTAGCAGTGGTTGTCATAACAACAGACAACCGACAAACCATTATGACGTGCGCTTTAAAGCATGTTTACAGCGTTTTATTGGCTGAATTGATTGAAATCGTCTTCGAATGCTCCTCAACGTGTTCTCCTTTTCCATTCAATTACATATCTTCAGGTTTATGAATGTAAACGACAACATGTTAAATGATAATCAAATAATATTAAATTCAAATGGAAAAATATCAAGAAGAAGGAAGAATTGGTCAAGGAGCGTATGGAGTTGTCATCAAAGCTCGAGCTAAACAGGTTTTGTTTCTTTTGACTACGTTTATCAACATTCAGATTTTAATTTTAGAGTGGACAAGTAGTTGCAGTTAAGAAAATGAGTTTATCAAGAGATCGTCTTATAATAGTTCGCGAAATCTGTTCATTACGTAATCTCTGTCATCCCAATGTAAGTCTTCTAATGAGCATCTATCAAACGTTTTTAAATATCAATGAGTTTTAGATTTTAAGATTAATTGATTGTTTCTGTTCAACGGACACCATTTCTATTGTAACAGAATTTGTTTCATTTCATTTAAATGATATATTCACTGATCCACGAAGACCTAAAGATGAACAGTTTGCTCGGTGAGCTAATAAAACAGTGAATTGTTAGAAGATAGACTGCTTTTACAGATATTTCTATGCTCAAATACTGACGGGTGTTGCTCATATTCATAGTTTGAACGTTATGCATCGAGTACTCATCAACTCTTTCTTTCTATTTTTATCAAACTCAAACTCATTTCAGGATTTAAAACCAGAAAACATACTTGTTACTTCACTACTTGTCGTTAAAATAGCTGATTTTGGCCAAGCTTGTTTATACTTCCCTAATGAACCACATAGAGAATATGAAGAAAATGTGTGTTTAAATATTTCTTTTTTATGCAAAAATGATATTTGGAAGTATATTTCGAAATTAACCTAACATCCCCCCCTCCTCTCACACTACTCTTGTTCTTACATCGAACAACTACATGAGCACCTGTGGATGCTATCAATTTGCCCTCAGGCTGTTTTATTGCTTGTAAGCTGTCAATCTTCTTCAATCTAATGGAAACACATGTTCCAACTCACTCTGTAAAAATCAAGATTGAAAGAAAAATTATGACAAGCAAGATGTATGAACTTAATTTCCGGCATATCCATTATGTACTTCTCTTTTCAACATTTTTTTATTTTCCGTCCTCCTTATTGTCGTAGTACTGAATTACTTAGAGAAAAATAAGGAAATGCTATTGATTCCTAAAGAAATAGTTTAATTGTTCAGGTTGCCACTCGCTGGTATCGGGCACCTGAACTTCTGTTTGGCTCTAGGTTCGTAACTAAATTGAAAGAAATAAACAATTTATAAATTCAGACACTATGGACCAGCTGTTGATGTTTGGGCATTAGGATGTATTCTGACAGAATTTTTCAACTCAACTCCATTGATACAGGTTCCTTGTCTAAATCAAATGATATGAGAGTTAAGAGAGTATAGAACAACCGTCACCGCACGCATATCCATCTCTAAATGATCTTTCATATGCGATTGTTTACGGGAAGTACGTGATCAAGAAAATAATATGCAAATGAGATCTAATATATATCCCCCCAGCATTGTATAGCTGGTGCTGGTGTATATGACAAAGAATATATATATATAAATATATAATATTTTTTTGTTAAAACGAAGGTTTATACTATAATAGTATATAACAACTATAGGAGGTTTATAAATTTATGAGCAAAACATATTATAGACTATTATTTATTACTAAACTATTATAATGTCAACTATTCATGATTTTCATATGTCAAGAAGTCAATCGAGCTTTTCCTTCCTTTGGAAAAAGTTTTTCGTCTCGATTATTCACATTCTTGCTCTTTGACATTCCGTACATAGTCCTGAGCATTAAAAAAGATGGCAAAGAGTGACAGAGAGAGAAAGGGTTAAAAAAAGAAGACAGAGAGAGAGAGAGAGAGAGAGAGAGAGAGAGAGTGACAGTGAGAGAGAGAATTGAAGTCAAAACGAGGAATTCTAAAATATAAGAGAACAATTAAGGAAAGTTTCCAAATGGAAATGTAATGAGATGATGCTCAAGATGACATGTGTCAAAGGCATTCTTCAATTTTTATTTTCAATCTCTACAATTATTTATTTTGGAATTTCACAGGGACGAACTGATATTGAGCAAATCTCCAAAATCTTTTCACTTCTTGGAACGCCAACAGAACAGACATGGCCATCATGGTCAGCGTTACCTGATTCAAGCAAATTAGTTTTTGAAGAGCAACAACCACCGCAGACTTTGTCATCTCTAGGTAATTTCAAGAACAAAAATAATTGAATAACGTTCTTCGGATTCATTCAGTCGATGTAAAATCACATCATCGGATCAGCTTCGAAAAACCAATTTCCGTTACGAGCAAAGGATAGAGGAGAGAGAATTCTCTCCTCTCTTCTTGACTCACTCTATTTTACTTTAAAAAAAGCTTTTTTAACTCTTTGTAGGCAATAAGCCAATTGTCCTTCCATATTCACGTTCACTGAACTCTTTTATATTATTTAATATTTTATTTTCAGTCCGACATGCTTCTGAATGCTTCGTGCAATTTCTTTCACGTCATCTGCAGTTAGATAGTACACGACGATCCTCAATTCAAAATCTCTTAACAGATGAATATATGCATGGACGTCAAGATAAACCCTTGTATCGAATCATCCGACGTCAACGGCCGCGTCGTTCAATGCCTCTTCTGGCTCGCCGATGATGTGATCGTGACAATTCATTTTATTTCCGTCTGAAATTTCTTTTCATACATTCAAATAAAATCTTTCTGCCTTTGTATTCAAATATTAAAATAAATTTTTCTGAGTTAGTATGCAGCTTTTGACTTCAAACTTTCCAAGAACCTCCTTCACTGTTGCAGAGTGGTTTTAATGAATTTTTGAAGAAACGATCGACAGCTTCTCGATTTCCTTTTTTGAAAATGAGGGTTAAGCAGAGTGGTCGTCGTGGACAACCGTTTTGTTGCGAAGTTTTGTTTATAACGCCTCCTTCCTTCCTCTCTCTTATCCTTCCTTTTTCTCTCTCCCTGTGGCAGTAACCCACTACATCTTCGTTTGCATAGAAATGTAATAAAGAAATACTGGACTAAAATTAAAGATGAAGCTTGGGGATCATTAAAGATCGTGAATTTCGTTTGAAATATTTATTTTTTCGGTTCTCTAAACAGCCTTCAAAGAGAAGATATTAATATGAAATTAATATGTCATAAATGAAACACGAATTGTCTTTTTATGGAAATAGAGCTTTGAGAGAGAGGAGAGACCCTTAAAGATGAAATGCTTCGTAAACATAATTTTTTTTGAAGAGTTTGGAGTCAGTAACGGATGATGAGCATGAAAACAAAGAAAAAGCCAAAAAAGGAAATCTATTTGTTTGTGGTTCCTTTGAATGAATAAATGATCAAAAAGTTCTTTTTGAAATTCGCCTTTTCAACAATCTTCATTAAGCCATATGATTCGTAGCTTATAAGCTTTACTCTCCTTCCTTCTCCACCACCATATTTGGGTCTTGTTGTCAATAAAAAAAAATTAAAGGAAAAGTTCAGGAATTACAATTCCATTACTAAAAATTCTAGAAATGAATTGAATCAGTTGAAAGAAATTTTTACTATAGCGTCCCCATATTTAATAAAAGACACTTCTGGCTACTTTCAAATGCGCCTTCCTCACACAACTTCTGAAGGAGAAACAGCGGTCTGGCGGCTCATTTAGAAAGATTTTCTGAAGAGCCTCGCTATTTTTGAATAGTTTTGAAAGAAAGTTAGGAATTAGCTTTATCCGCTCTAACTTTAAAACCTTCATAATATGCAGTTGAACTTTAGAGAACTCTTTAACTTCATTGATGATGTACGTCGTTAACTTTCCCAATCAAGAAGTGAGCTCATTGACACTAAATGAGGCACAAAAGAAAGAGAAAAGAAGAGAGGGAGAGAAAGAGAGAAAGGGGAAGAGAAAGGAGGGATAGGGTAACAGAAATTTGGAAAGAAGGAGAGTCCCACACTAATCTCATGTTCGTCAGCTGATTTCAACCCTTTTGAGACTACGGGTCGCGGCTTGATGAAGCTTGCTCTACCATGGCTACTGCTATGGTCCAGTATTCCTTTTTTTTCTCTGCAAGTTTTTATGATGGTAGTTCCTCTCTCCATATATATATTCTTTTCAATAAGTATGTTCATATTTGTCTTTCTCAGCAGCCACCCTCATAAGCTGACGAAGCGCTTCCGGGCTTCCTGCTGCAGCTCAAAGTATCAACTTAGGTTTTCAATCAGTCTTGTTTTTCTGTCATCAAGTATATTTTTGGTTCAGATACATGTATATCAAACGTTTGTACTTAATTTGTAGACAAAAGTTTAAAAAATAGAGATATTGAAGAGCTCACGTCTTCTTATAAGGGCGGAGCCTGAACTAGACTTCTCTCTCTCCCTCCCTCCCTTTCTCCCTCTTCCTTCTCTATCTTTTCCCCTCCCATTCTTTCGATTACATTCTCTACTCTACTACTCTCAATGCTGCTTCATCTTTTCTTAAAAAACGAAGTGAAATATAAGAGACAATCAGGCGTTTAGAGAGTTATAAGGAGAGAGAGTGAAATGAAGAGAAAGATAGTGAGAGAGGGAGTGAAAGTGATTCAGAAATTGAGAATAAGGAGCCGTTGCATATCTGCAAGTAGGATATGAGAATAAAAATTATAGTGATGAAGTAAGAAGTTAGAAAGTAAAAAGAGAAATGTTGAAAACGCAAAACCACAACGTTGTCGAGTGGAGGGCTCAAGCATGAGAGTTAAAGTTAGAGTTTGAAAGAAGCTTCATACTTTCGAGAGAGAGCAGACTGACAAACGCTGAAAGCTGACTCGAATGCTTATTCTCAAGAGAGAGTTTAGAGAATAAAGAGGCAACGCATGAGAGAGAAGTATAAAGGGTTAGATGAATGAGAGATGAAAACAGAGAGAAAATCTACTTTCCACCCCTTTTGCTTTCATCTTTCTGCACTCATCATTCGATACGTTCTCTTATTTTCTTTTTTTCTTTTTTTCTTTTGCTCTTTCTATCTCCCTCTTCTCTCTCTTCCCCTCTGTATAGCAGAGCTGTGAGATAGCTACAGCCTACCACAAAGCTTCTGTTACTTTCTTTTTTCATTTTTCTCTTTTTTCCTTATTCTGCTCTCTCTTATCAATCTATCAATCTGTTATATAGTTATGTGTTTTTTTTATAGTTAATGTCTTTTTCCTCAAACGAAACAGCTGCTACTTGTCTTCAGTGGTCATTGACTCTCTTATTACTTTCATACTCACTCATTTCGTTCATTTTTCCAAAAATATATTTATAAATAACTATAATTTAACTTACTTATTCAAACATATGCAATTGAATATCTAATATCTCATTTTATCATACTATTGGCTGTATTTAAGTTAATAACCTTAATTTAGTTGCAGCTTATACCAATCTATTTCACAGATTTTTAGCTCAAAGTCTCTCATTATAATACATTTTCCCTCTTAAACCGCTTCCTTTCTCTCTCTTCTTCATCTCTTTCTCTCTTCTTCTTCCTCTCGTTTCTTCTATTCATCTTCTTTTTACTCTCTACTCACTTCTGCTTAAACATTTCTTCTTACCCGCCGATCTGCCTTCCTTTTTTTTCCTTCCATCTGGCATCTCCATCAGACGTCATGTCATCAGTAAGGCCTGATTGAACGAAGAGGAGCTACTGCATAGAAAAGGATCGGACAGGAATAGCCGATTACTCAACTGCCAATTGTTCTTAACTGGATCGTCATCTCATCTAATCTACCCCCGTCAGCTTTTCATGTGTTCTCCCTTCTCTCGACTTATATGAGACATATACGTTCAGTTGCTTTTTCTCATTCCATTACATTGACTTATTTAGACATGGATAGAGAGAGAGACAAAAAAAATTTTTTTCCTAAAAAGTCGCAATATCTTAATGAATTTTATTCAGAAGAAGAAAAAATTATTCGACATTTTACTATCTTTTGTGTGTTGCTTCCCTCATTTGCATAAATGTTGAAATGAAATTTCACGTCAAATCTCACGTGGAACATCAACGTCTTGTGTATGCATTTGCATTTTGTGCTGACGAACAGAGCGGTTGCTTCTTTGGCATGTCTATCTTTAACAATATTTATATTGTTCAAAAGATTTTCTCTTTTCTGCTGTGTATATAACTGTATTAGGAAAGATAAATTTTTTTAAAATAAAATTAAAAATAAAAACAAAACATTTGAATTGAATTAGATTTGTTTCGTTGTTGATAAGTGATGTGTCAAGGGAACGATTTTTCTTTGTCATCTCTTGCTTCTTCTTATTCTCTCTTTGTTTTTGTTGTTAATTTCATTTTCTTTTATTATATTACGTGCTCACATACACATCTTTCATTGATTGAGCTTTTCCTTTGGTTGTTTTATCGTTCTATTTCATTTCACTATAAACGGAATAATACACAAGTGCGCCTTTTTTCAGAATATTCCGACTTGAAAGAATGGTTGCTTCTTCAAGCTTTAAGCTGTGATTAGACTATGTCCAGTTGTATCACATCAGCTGAACAAAAGTTTCAATCAAAAAGTTTACTTGATCAGCCAAACTTCATACATAAGTTGGTACCCAATCAGATTGAGAGTGAATTTCATCCATGTTGAGGCAGCAGATAACATCAGATTCATCTACAAATCTGAAAACCCACACATGCTTTCATAGGAGAAAAGAGACACTCTTTTCATTTTATAATTTCAACAAAATATTTATAATTATTCTATTAGTTCTATTATTCAATCTACCAACTTCTGAATCAGTCAAATGCTATTGTACGGACGATCATTGTGTTCCGTATGGAGCATGTGATGGAACTGTGTGTCTTGTTGGGATTCTAAGAGAAAATAATCAAATTATTCGAACATGTGGTTCCCATCCACTCGGATGTCATAGGTACGTTCCAATTATGTTTTCCTTCCTTTATTTTTATATTGTTCGTTTCATTTCCCATATAGTTTATAACCCATAATTTACCTCGCAATGCCATGCCATTCTCACAGCTTCCTTTTCGTTTTTTCACTTCATCGTTCATGTTCAAAGCTATGATTATCAGATGCTTCTATACATATGTTTATTCATGCATCTATAGACATATATTTGTGTCATAAGATTGACAACTAAATGCAGCTTTTTTTCCTTCCATACACTTCCTTCGGCTTTTTTTTTCTTCAACGACACCCAACATCATCCTATCCACCATCAACTCTCTGTCGTTTTCCCTCTCTCTCTCTATGTTGTTCTCTTTTACAACTTGCGACGAAGATGTTCTTCTTATGAATAAGATTCGTATGTACAAGTTATTCTTCACTTCTTTTTTCTTTCTTTTTGTCATTCAAAACTGCTTGGGCATTTCCAACTGAACATGCTCATCAGTAAAACCTACGATCTTATACGATTTCTAGTCAAATGATGGGAGGGAGAGTCTGGATTGAAAAGAGATCTGTGCTTGAAGGTCTTTGTAAGAGAATCTTTTATTCTCTGAACTTCATCATCACTTTTTTTTCTTCATCAACTACTGCTTGCAAGTTCTTCGCACCATCGTCATCTCCCATGCAATGTGATCTGGGCTTCATCTCTTCTTACAAAGCTGCTCAGTTCCTGAAGGCCTTTCACTCTACTTCTCTTTCATGAATCTTGAAAATAGAAAAGAGGAAAAG